CCTTCGCGGACGCGAAGTGCTGGAGCGCCACGAGGCATTCGTCTTCCGACTTCAATGCAGCAGGGTATGCATACATGAAACAAGTGGCAACATCCTTAACCACAAGTGCAAGGCGCGAATCCTCAATGACAGTTTGCTTGTCCCTGTGCAAGATCAGATGATCTGCGGTCACATGGTCGCCAAAAACCTCTGCTTCGATAGTACTGGTTTCCTTCTTGTATGTACATCTTAGCTCGTTGGCATATTTGGCAATAAGGGTTCTTGGGGACATGAGTCATGAGGTGTTCACGGGTTCTTGATTCTTTGATCAGAGCTTCCTTGCTCCGTCTACGAGCTCTACGTTCAGGTGCTTCAGGATCGTCACTTGATGCTGCTTCCCCATCGGGGGCATCGGCCGCTGCCGGGGCAGGAGGACCAATGTCCGGTTCAGCACGCACCTCGTCAGAGGGCGGAGCAGGGCGAGAACCATCTAGAATGGCTCGCACCCGTGCCGCACCTTCGGACCTGAGGAGACCAGAGTCTCGAACACCATCCCTGGGCTCGGATTTTGCTTTTGGTTCAGGCTTAGGCTTAGCTTTAAGTTTTACTGTAGGCTTGGTGCGGTCCGGCAAAGGCCGGACAGGCATGTCTTCCTCCATCAGTTCCCTGAGAGTTCTTTCGTCAGGATCATCGGCGGATGCCGGCGCAATAGGAACCCTCTTGTGAGGAATAACAAACCCACAACCTCGAAGCTTCGCAACGTCCTGGTTATCAAGTTGGTAAACTGACCTACACGTGTAGGCAGTAATGCTCCAACGTTCACCCTTCCAAGGTCTTACGAAATGGGATGTCTTCGGGTCAAAAACGACAATCTTGTTGTGACTGTCATGGACCATCCCAGGGAGTTTGGTGCCTACAGAATCCTTGACCTCTAGATAATTTTTATCGGTTTTCATAGCGTTCGGGTCATGAATCCAAAGGCCACCATTGGAAAACTCTCCCACGGCAATCGTAACGTTGAGATGGTCTTTGTGATTGTTCACATCCTTATGGACCTTGATAGGCGAGTTCTGGTTGATACAGAGTGAGGAACAGCTCTCCAACTCCGCGCCTCTTTTGCGAAGAAATGCAATGAGATACTTGATAGTATTAACATGGCGTCCAGTTCTCTTGGTTACACCATGAAACCCTCCATGTGCGAAAGCACCAAGTATCACATACTTCTCTTTGCTATTGCCATGCTTCTCTCCTAGTGCTTTTCTTCTACTCCTACCTGCTCCGAAGTTGACGGTGCGCAAGAGATCCACGCATGATCGCTCCGAGAAGTCGTGCTTCTCCAGAAGCTGCAAAGCAATCTCTTCAGAGCTGCGATCAGGCATTTCACCTCTGGCAACCGACTGAATCTCATCGGACTTAGATTCACGCGCAGGGCAGGCAGTGCCCTCCTTCCACGATTTGAGGAAAGGCACATTATCTCGAACATCAAGGAAAACCCTTTCACCCTCAGGAGTCTTCAAGTAAGGGCGAGTACATGCTCTCCAAATGAAATCGAAACCTTGCTCCATGCAACGCTGTCCTATGGAGAGGACTGAAGGAGTGTCGGGCAGCACGTAAGGCTTGGCAGAAATAGCAATCGACGGAACGTCGACATCACATTGCTTGTCAGCGGAGCTGGGACCGTTCGCGGTCATGATGTTGATTGGCTGTTCAGACTCATAAGCCTTCAAATGCTGGAGATCCCTCTCAGCGATTAGGTCTTGTGCACTCCCGGTGTCGCCAATCCATTCAAGGTTGAGCATCTTGGAGGGTCCTTTGTCTTAGCAGGGCACGACATTCTAAGACCCTTTGGGATACAGTGATTACATCCAATCTCCGAATCACACTCCCAGCGGCAGGCCGGAACGTCATCCTTGGTAGAGATGGAAGCTTTCAGCATCTTTGCTGACATCTGGGCCTCTCGGATGGAGTCTGCTCTGGTTTCTGGGACAAAATCCAAAGGCTTTTCTCCTCGATGCTTACGGTTGGTGGGCGATATTGGAGTGAACCTCGCGTTGGGATCACTAACGGGAATGTTAATGTAATCGACTTCAGAGCTGAAATTTACCGCTGGTAGCGCCAGACTATAGGGATACGTGCAATTGGTGATCTGGTCCGTCCACTCCTTCCGGAGGGAGAAAGCATCGGCTTGGGCGGCCGAACCAGCAACAAGAGCACTTAGGAGACATACAGCAGCAGGGATACCGCCTGAAGGCTTCTTTCTGCCTGAGCCCTTCGAGTTCTTGGAGCCTTGACTTCCCTTGGAATTCCTGCTACCCTTAGAACCCTTGGAGCTACAGCGAGAAGACTTGCGATCTTTCTTCTTCTTGCGGTCCTTCTTCTTCCCTTTGCCTTTTGACCCCTTCCCACTGGTTTCGGAAGGCGCAGCTGCACCTGGCTTGCCTGTGTGGAGAAAATTGCAGTTCTCCCCCCGATCGCAACGTCCTTGCTTGTAGAACTTGCAGATCTTAGGCTTACCACCGGGGCTTGCAGAGCTTGCTCGTGAGCCAGCCGGCGTAGCGGAGCGGCCGCGTCCCTTGGCCGGAGTCTGGTGCTTGTACTTACATTGGTCACCTTTGGTGCAGGAACCATTACGGACCCATGAAATGCAGAAACCTTTAGGAACCCTCTTAGGTGCAGGTGCAGTGGGCACAGCAGGACTGCCCGTCTGACGAGCCATCCGTTCCCGGTTGCGTTCAAGGCGCTTCCTGTTGAGGTGCGCATTTGCAGCATCATACAGGAAACTGTAGGACCGTTCTTTGGAACCTTCAAGAGCTCTTTCGTAGATGTTGATGTCATGCGAGAGAGCCTTGACCTTCTTGACCTGTCTGTGAAATAGTGGTTCGAGGAATGATGCTTCAGGGGTTTTGGGAATCCCCGACAACACCGTGTCCCAATTTCGCATAAAGGTGAGAAGATTCTCATTGAGCAACGTGACTGAAAGCAAATCTTCCATGTCACACACCGCCCCATGCTGAGCGTTCGTCGCAAAGTAGTTGTGAATCCTGAAGAGAATCTGCCTTCCTCTAACTGGGCGTCCGGCGTTGGCCTCTGTTTCTTTGAAGGTGTCCACCTGACGTGCAAAGTCGCCTTCCAGGATGTTTGACAGAGCTGAAAGGATCTTAGCATCAAGGGTGGTGAATCCTTCCGGATCACGCAGGGTTTCCTCCTTCATATCGGCTTCCCAAACCCTAGACAACCACTCGAAAGCTTTGTCGGGCTTATCAGATGCAGCTACAACAGCGTCACGAACTCTGATGCGCCAATTGCGATAGCTCTCGGGCTGAGGAAACTTTGGGACTAAAACCTTCTCAGCTTCCTTGGTTTTGGGAGCCTTATCCGATGACTCGGCTTTGTCAGCATCTTTGTCAGTTGAACCACCTTTCATCATCTTCTTGAAAAATCTCTTCATCTCTTTTGGTGAAATCGCCGAAGATGAGGAAGAATCGGAGGACGAAGATGAGTCCCTCTTTTTCTTCTTCTTCTTCTTCTTTTTGTCGTCCTTCTTTTTCTTTTTGTCCCCATCATCATCATCATCGTCATCATCTGGGTCACCTGGCTTGCCTTTGCCTTGGCCAGGCGGTGTGTCGAGGCGATGCACCTGTGGGAGGCCGGGCGGTGGCCCGCTAGGGCCAGGGTTGCCTTCCGGCTCCCGATGATGGGGCGAATCGGTCTGACTGGCAGCCTTCTGTAGCATCTCTTGAGCTTGAAGCAGCTTAGCACGAAGATCAGAGTTCTCGCTCGTGAGTGCTGAGCGGTGCTCGGCTTCAGAATTGAAGCGTCCGAGCATAGCATTGAATTCAACCTTCATGCTCTCAACCTGTTCGGATAGCCTCGCATTGTGAATGGCGTACTCACTCTGAACATTGTGAGAAAGCCTCTCAAGCTTGGAGTACTCGGCATTAGCGTAGGCTTCCGCCTCGCAAAGACGCTTGTGGAGCTCAATGGCTTCAGTCCTTGCTCTGGCAAGAGCAGCAGAATGCTGATCAATGATACCTTGATCGTTGCTCGACTTAGTGGCGGCTTCACTCTCAAGCTGCTTAAGATTGTTTTGAAGAACGGTATACTCATGACGCAATTGTGCCACCTTGGATGTGGCCTGGGAACTAAGTATGTTGATTTCCTCCCTATGAGCCTCCCCTATGGCTCCTACGATTTCCCTGTGGCGCGCCTCTGCGGCCATGGCAACGGCTGGCCCAGTGTCGGCGTTGACGTGGATGTCAACCTGGCTCAGCGCCAATTGCCTTGCGTCGACTTGATTCACCTGGAGCTGCCTACGGTCTATGTTCTGGGCATTGTACGTCGGAGAGAACACTGAAGGAGCTCTCTCAGTCGGTGAGTATGCTGGGGTGCTTAGCCCTGGAACCATGTTCCATGAGTTCATGGAGCCTAGACCTGGAACATTACCAGTGGCAAGTCGTTGCTCGCTAACTGCTCCAACGTGCATGATTCTTGGATCGTTCTGGGCTGCAAGCATTGCCAAGTTCTCTTGGCTGAGCGGCATAACCTCACCATCCCTGGGAGGGTTTGTCGATACAGCTGTAGGTTCCCCTACAACGGGGTTGCTAAGCAGTGACATTGTTTCATCCTCCACAGGTACGGGGATTGCTGCAGCGTTTCCGGGAGATTGCCCTTCCATGACACCGGCAGGTAGTGTTAGAGTCTACGGCTGATAACCTATTGTTACCAGCGGAAAGCCCTAAACTCAACAAGTACAGTGCAACGCACTTTTTGTCTTGAGCCAATGAAGTAGCGTAAGTACGGTAATACAGCTGATATCTTGAAGTATCGACAGAAACACTTGGGCTTGGGTGCACTTGGGGCTCCCAAACCTCTCCCAATACCCTTCTCCCCCCCCCCCAAAAAAAAGAAAAGTCTCCAGCTGCCTGAAAAGCCTGTGGGAGGTGTCCTGAGACCCGGGAAATGCTGGGCTTGAGGGCTGTTGGAGGCTGTTTCTGCCCTGGGCCCCCACCAGCGGAGGGCGCCTGGAGCTGCCTCATCTGCTCGGCCTCCACCTCTTGGTAGTGGCGCCTCTGGCGTCGCTCGAAAACGGGGTTGAAGTTTGGGCGGTTTTGGGTTTGGGGCTCGGGGTCCTGGGCTTGGGGGTTACAAGGTCTAGGAGCTTAGGGTTTAGGACTCAAGGGTTCCGAGTTTCGGGTCTTGGGGTTTAGAGCATGTACGTAGGCCTCAGGTCATCCCCAACCCCAAATCCCAAAACCCCAAATCCCAAATCCCCAAATGACCCCAAATCCCCAAATGACCCCAAAACCCACCCCTCGCTGCGCCTGAGATCTCGGAGCTCCGGCGTGTCCCAGGCGCGTCGGCGCCCCGCCTCTCGCGCTTGACCCTGGCGAGGGCAAAGGGCTTCTTGGGGCTCTGGGGCCTATGAGGCCCACGGGGTTTATGGGCATTCAAGGGGCTTGTAGGGCTTTAGGCGTTCTTCAGGACTTCGCAAAGGACACCAAGGGGGGCTTGCAGAGGCTTATTACAGGGTTTGGTTATATAAAGGGTTAGGGGTTGTCAGGTTCCGGGTTTCAGTCAGGGTTGTTTTGCATTCTCTGCGCACTTTGCCTTCTTCGCCCACGGGGTTTGGGGATTCATTTCGTTTCGGCTCGGGCTCAGCTCCTTGTGGAACTCTGGTACTCTCACCCAGGCTTAAGAGGGCCCGCGTCTCTTTTGCTAGCTCTTTGGCGCTCCGTAGAGGTCATAGCGGCGCTGCATGGACAGAGGCATCTTGCTTCGGACCTCCTCGCGGCTGCGCAGAGTTCCATGCGGTAAGTTGAGCTGTGTTTAAGTCATAATAGAAAGAAAGAATACTCGTCGTGAAGATGATGATGATGATGATGATGCTACTACTGTTAATAAGAAGTGGAATGGCAATAATGAGCATAATTGCAACAATAGCTTGATATGGTTAGGACAGTGATGCGTGAAATATAATTCATCTGCCATTACAAGTGCCATCATTGCTAGTGGTACAGATCTTTGTTGCGCCACTTCTCGCAGACTCTTCCTAGATTCTTGGCAGGAGTGTAGCCCATCCTCGAGGAGGTCCGGCTGCACCTCCACGACCTTGACACCGGAGGACGTCCCATCAAACTCTGCCAGCACCTGTGCAGACCCTGGAAGGTGTATATGGGCTTCTCGACATCACGACCCTGCGTGGAAAGCGCAACAAATCCGAGGGTTCAGGGTTGCAGGCTATACGACAGCTTGCAGAATCTTGGTACCCTCCTCAATCCGACAGATCCAGCCCTGGATCCTGAAGCCCATACTACACAAGACCCGAAACCCTAAACCTGCCTTGCCCCAGGGGTCCACGGCCATTGCGTGTCCCCACGACTGGCGCCGGTTGCCGTCCTCGTTGTGCAGGCCAGCCTGGACAGAATCATCACTTCAGTGTAACTTCATCTCATCTTCCTGAGCAGCTGCCGAGAGTGTCTCTGGAACGGGCCTGAGCCGCGGCGATCACGTAGCACTGGCACTCCACTGCCCGCGTGCGCATGAGCAGCTCCCAGTGCGCTTCGCCCGTCGGCATGGAGAAGGCCGAAGGGATCAGCAGAATGTCCTTAAGGGTGCTCGGCTTCCCCTCTGAGGCCTTTCGGGGGCTCAAGATGCCCAACACGTCTGGCATCTTAGCCTGACTGATAGATATACCACTAACTATGGACTTTATATATATATATATACAAGATACCAATCCGCTGCGTGCCAGGCTTCTGCTCCATGTTCAAACCGCAACTGCTGGTAGAGCTGCGGAAAGCGGACCTCACCACCAACGGGAGAAAGAGGAAGATACAAAGAGTGAGAGAGAGATGAAAGAAGGCAAAAGACAATAAATGAGGCGAGGGCAAGAGAAAGTAACCCTGCACACAAAAACGAGCTGAGCGCGATGAAGAGGAAGAAGATACGGCAGGTGGCTTTTGACCGCCCAGGCACGTCGTAGCAGACAGTCACCCCGAGTTTGCCGATGGTGCTGTCGCAGGCGACCACCTCACTGAGGGGTGCGAAATCGAGCAAATCGGGGTTGAGCCACCTCACCCAGACCGCCTCCGACCCCGAGATCGTCTGCTTCGACTCGACAAGGCCGGTGAAGGGCGCGTCGAACATATGGATCTTGCCTCGCAAGCCAGACTGGGAAGAAACGAACATTCCATCTGCATATAGGTATATTAGAATGTATAAACGTATACACACATACCCATATATATATATATATGTGCAGAAGCAATGCTTATGACACTTCGGGGGCAAGGATGATGGGGGGGAAGGAAGCGCGCTGCTCCCGGCGACTCTTGCAGGCCCGGGTGCGGTAGACCGACACCATCTCGCCTTCGGAGTTGAGAATCACGTGGGTGTTCAAGATCTTGTTGTCCTTGAAGATTTTGGGTCACAGGGAGGGCTCTAGGGTTGTATAGGGTTCAGGGTTCTAGGTTATAGGGCTATAGGGTTTAGGAATCAGGGGTGCGTTCAAGACCTTCCTTGACACTCTGCGATATCCGAGCTAAACAGCACCCTTAAGCCGCCAAATAGTTTGGTTCGTTTACACGCAAAGCTCCATATGGTAATATGATAGGAATCACTGGCCACTTACTCCCCACAACGTGTAGTCAAAGCAGGTCCCAGAGGCTCCCAGCACAGCGGGATGCCGCGCCGGCTCTGTAATTGCCGGTTTAAGGCTTGGGGTTTTACAGTTTCAGAGCGCCGGGCAACCTAACACCCAAAAACAACCACACCGCAAGGGACACCAACAGCTGCCGAGCATCGGGCTCGCCGTCGACCTTCTCCTGGAAGCCTGCGGCCACCGAAACGCCAACATCCATCCCCCCCCCCCGGCCACACACAAGCAAACACCCAATCCAAAAATCAAGCTTCGGGTTCAGGGTTCAGGGTTCAGGGTTTAGGGTTCAGGGTTCAGGGTTTAGGGTTTAGGGTTTAGGGTTTAACATTTAGGGTTTAGGGTTCAGGGTTTAGGGCTCACAAGCCCTGAGAGTCTCACTTCTCTGGGTGCCTCCCAGCGACAGCCAAACCTGCTGCTCTTTGGCCAGGGCGGCGTAACCTGATGGGCCCCGTGCCTCTAAACTCCACAGTCGATGGAATGCAAAACTTGGATTTTAAACCATATGACGACCCGATTGGTTTTTGGATGCATCTAAAAGACCAATGCTTATCCTGTGACACTTCGTCGTTTCGTTGGCACGGCGCTGTTCAGGCAACACTTTAGCGAGCGAGAATCCTGAAAGTCGGGCTCGGATGTTCATCTAAAGAAGGAACCAACACCCCACAACCCCCCCCCCTCCTCTGCCCCCACACACTGAAATCCAGGGTTGCAAAGGGTCCCTGGGTTCCTGAATGTCCCTGGGTTCCTAGGTCCAAAGCCCTCCCACACGGGCAACAGACAAATCTCAACAAAACCCTATTTGCACAATTCTGCGAGCCATGCGAACGCACCATGCATCTGCTTTGTACAGGCTGTTGCAAGGACACCAGGCTGTTACCCGAGTTTGCAGGGTGTGTCCCACCTTATGGACGGCTTCCTTGAAAGGCCAAGAAATATAATTCACAAAAACCCGTGTGCGAGCTTCGAAGCTTTCGCAAGAAAAAGGCTCGCTTTCGCATTCGAAACTTGTGCTCAAGTTGACAAGGGACTCATTGGCTAGTGCCGAGGTTTCATGTCCCCTCCTCCCCCCATTCTCAGAGCAATTTGGATTTGGGGGTCTGAGGGCTTTAGTTTAGGGTGTCTAAGGCTCCGTAGGAATTTAACCCCACATACGCAGGGGAAGGGGCGGCCCATCGTCGGCCCTGACAACGGCTCCGCGGCGTCCTGCGCCTGACTGGTTTAGGGCTGAGGGCTCAACTGTTCTCGGAGTTTAAGGTTTAGGGTTTAGGGTTGGGGTTCGAGGTTTGGGGGGGGGGGGGGGGTAATCGTGCTAGCGAAAGGGCGGCTATCAAGTTTATCACTTCGCTTTAGCTATCTGCAATGTATCTCCCACTAGCCCAAAATGACTCACGTCGCGGGTTCAAACCTCCCATTCTCTAAACCCTAAACCCTAAAACCTATACCCTAAACCTCCAAAGCCCTGGACCCTCGGATGGTGCGCTGGCCTCGCCAGCCTTAGCCCCAATGAATGCAAAGCACTCGGGCAGCGCCACCAGCTGGCAGCCCTGGTAGGTTTGCAGAGTTTAGGGTTTTGGGTTTTGGGTTTAGGGTTTGGGGTTTGGGGTTTGGGGTTTGGGGTTTGGGGTTTGGGGTTTGGGGTTTGGGGCTTGGGGTTTGGGGTTTGGGGCTTAGGATGGCTGGAGCTGGGATGTACACATGCAACTCTTCTTGTGGAATCCTACAATGTGACAAGTCGAAGCAACCAATCTGGGGGGAAACTTTTCCAGTCCCCATACCGAAGAACCTCAACCCTACACCCTCAACACCCTGGACCCTCAGCCCTAAGCCCTCAACCCTACACCCAAAACCCGAAACTTCAGGGCGCCAGTCCTGCGAGGCTGCCTCGGTCACCAGCTGCGCGCAGGTGATGAAGTTCGCCTGGCAGAGCCCTTCTTAGATTTAGGGCTTGGGGTTTGTGGTTTAGGGTTCGGGGTGTAGGGTTAAGGGTGTAGGCTGTAGGGTTCTTGTTTAGGGTTTGGGGGTCTGGGGTTTAGGGACAGGGGGGAGACCTGCTGTTGCTACGGGCATCGGGTGGAACCCCTCGCCTCCTTGTCATTTCGGGCCGTCATCTGGCAGAGGCCCACCTGCATGGTTCGGGCTTTCTAGAGTTAGGCTAGAAGGGTCTGTAAGTAGGGGTTTTTAAGGTCTATAGGGATTCTATAGGGTCTATGTAGGGTTTATAGGGTGCACAAAGGATTCTAGGGTTTGCAGGGTTACAAAGCGCCGAATCCCCGCCAAAAAGCCCGCGGACGGGATTCTTCTTGAATTTGACATAAACCAGACGAAGCCCGCATTCCTCACCAGACAATGGTCACGCCTTGAAGGTTTTCTTCGCAGCGGGCAGCGCCTCAATCGCAGAAGAACTCCGGGACGCATCAGACGGCTCTCTCCAGAAGGACACCCAAATACATACCGAAAAGGAACCCTGACAACGCTCACAAAACAGAAGCAATATCAACCTGTCTCCTATGCGCTCACCGCCACCTGCCGAGTCTGCCGAGCGTCCTCCGCCATGGCACCCGCGCACCTGCGGACCGCCCAGCGCAGCGCCGTGGCCACCCGCGCGTGGCTCCGCGTGCGGGAGCTGTCACTTTCAGGGATGTCCCCTAAGGATGACCCTGAATAACCATAGGGATCCGAACACCCCTTGAAGAAGCTTCCCTTCAACCAGGCCGAGATCCTACTGTGGGGGGTGGCCATTCACTGAGTCCGGAGGTCGCGTGTGTCTGTGTGCGTGTGTGTTGGTTGACTTAGCTACAAGCTTTTCTTGCTGAGCCAGCCACGGGCTTAGGCCTTGGGGTTTCAGGCGCCACGTGCATGCTGCAACTTCCGATGCATCGTAAAAAATCAACAGATGCAAAGCCTGCTTTCGCTTCTCCTGCAGCGGGCGGGAGCCACGAGACACGAGCAACGAGGCACCAAACAGCGCCGGGAGCGCTGTGCCCGCCACCCGTCTAACCATTCCATCAGCACTGCCCCCCCGCCTCCTTCCACCCCTCAGCTCGAGCTGGCACAAGACAACTTTTGCAGTGTATCTTTGTGTCTTATATGACTTACATGGGTCTCGTACTTGCATTTTCGCCACAGCTCGCCATCGTTGTAGGTCCCCCCCAGGCCTCCTCCTCCACCTCGGCGGCCTCGCGGCTGGCGTTGGCCGCGCGGCGCTCGCTGCGCTCCTGAGGCTCTGGCGGGGCACACAGCTTAGGATCCAGCAAGGCCAGCCGATTGACGGAGGTCTGGTGGGCGCGTTTCCCGCAATGTCTTGAGGGCTGAGTGCCATGCAAGGTATCATGCGTATATATACATATATATATATATATGGTTTATTTTATTTTGGAATCATGCCGTTGCAAGATGTGAGGTATGAAGAAGCATGCGTTCTTTGGGGTGTGCCGCACCAACTTTCTTCAGGTGCTGTCGTTCTGGGCCGAGAATTTCCGCGACTTAGCACTTGGAACTGATAAACACAATTTGCCCAGTTGGAGCCTAGCGGAAGCTAGCATCTCCGGCAAACCTTGTGCCTGCTAGGGGTCGCCAGGCATCCCCGTCCCGGCCGTCGCGTTGGTTTAGGGTTTAGGGTTTAGGGCTGAGGGTTGAGGGTTGAGGGTTGAGGGTTGAGGGTTGAGGGTTGAGGGTTGAGGGTTGAGGGTTGAGGGTTTAGGGTTTAGGGTTTAGGGTTTCCCCTTGCAGCCCGAAACACCCAAAGTCAAGAGCTACCAGGGTTCTGCAACTAGGCAGCAGAACCAAAAAATGACAGAAGGCGGCTTGGGGGGGAAACCCTCAACCACCCTAACCCCCAAACCCTAAACCCGAAACCCTAAACCCTAGACTTTTAACCCCTAAACCCTAAACCCTAAACCCCAAACCCTAAACCCTAAACCCTAAACCCCAAACCCTAAACCCCAATTAGAGGTGGACAGGGGGAGCCCAGCCTCCGCCAGCCGAGCCTGAGCCTTCTCGGCCTCGAGGGCCCGAAGCTCTCCAGGGAGGTAAAGGCCTCCCGGAACGGGCTGTTTAGGGTTTCGGGGTTTCGGGTTTGGGGGTTTGGGGTTTAGGGTTTAGGGTTTGGGGGTTTAGGGTTTAGGGTTTGGGGGTTAGGGTTCAGGGTTTCGGGGTTTGGGGTTTGGGGGTTTAGGGTTTAGGGTTTAGGGTTTGGGGGTTTAGGGTTTAGGGTTTGGGGGTTAGGGTTCAGGGTTTCGGGGTTCGGGGTTCGGGGGTTTAGGGTTTGGGGTTTAGGGTTTGGGGGTTTAGGGTTTAGGGTTTGGGGGTTAGGGTCCAGGGTTTCGGGGTTTGGGGTTTGGGGGTTTAGGGTTTGGGGTTTGGGGGTTCGGGTTCAGGGTTTCGGGGTTTGGGGTTTGGGGGTTTGAGGTTTGGGGGTTTAGGGTTTAGGGTTCAGGGTTTGGGGTTTGGGGTTTGGGGTTCAGTGGGAGCTGCCGAAGACACAGGGATCTCTGCTTGGGGGGGGGGGGGGGGGGGGGGAACAGACAGTGTAGCGTTTTAGGGTTTAGGGTCGAGGGTTTAGTGGGAGGTTCCGACAAATAGGGGGTGTCTTTCTGGGGGGTTCCTTTTGAGAAGGATGGGTACATCCCATGTTCCTGAAATAGGAATACTGCAGTTTAGGGCCGGGATTTGGGTTTTGGGGGGTTGAGGGTTTTGGGGGCTTATTGCTTGAGGGCTTTGAGGAGTTGCCAGCATCCCTAAACAACCCTAAACATCCGTAAACCCTAAACCCCAAACCCCCTAAACCCTAAACCCTAAACCCTCTAAACCCTAACCCCTGCGCTTGAATTCGACTCTCCACGTGCCATGACGGAAACCCCCTGGGTCACTGAGTGCTCCGCCTTCGCGGCGACCTCGGGGCGAGCAACCGAGAAAGCCCAACACCCCTTACAGCTCTTCAGGGTCTGCAGGTGGTTTAGGGCTGCAGGGTGCAGATCTTAGAGTTTCGGCTTTAGGATTTAGGCTTTGGGGTCCCGAAGGCTTTTTTTGGAAGGTCTTGCTGGGGTTTTTCGAGGGATTCGCATTGGGGTTTTTACTGCTTGGGGGTTCTGGGCCTCTGGCTTTTTGGGAGGTCTTGGGGTTCCAGGGGTTTAGAGCTTTTGGGGCTGTAGGGTTGAACCCTAAACCCTAAACCCCAAACCCCAAACCCTAAACCCTAAACCCTTCTCCCTAAACCCTAAACCCTAAACCTCCAACCTCCTAGCCTGCACCCAGAGAACCGAGACCCCGGCTCTTCACTGCCGTAGCACGGCGCTCGAGGTCCGCGGCGGCGGAAAGCTGTGACCAGTCCTGCTTAGGGGTCAGGGTTTAGGGTTGAGGGTTTTGGGTTTGGTGTTGAGGGTCTAGGGTTTAGGGCTGAGGGTTTTGGGTTTAGGGGTTCAGCGTTGAGAGTTCAGGGTTTAGGGGTTTAGAGTTTAGGGTTGAGGGAACATGTCCACACACGCTCTGTGATCGGAACCTGTAGTTCTGAAAAAGTTCACGAAACTCATGCCAAATTGAATTATCATAATCATCATCATCATCATCATCATCATCATCATCATCATCATCATCATCATCATCATCATCATCATCATCATCATCATCATCATCATCAGCAGCTTCACCATCAGCATCATCACCACCATCATCATCATCATCATCATCATCATCATAGCAGAAATGCACACGCAATATCAAAACTGGCGATCAACATGTCGATCCACATGTTCGTCGACGAAATTCAGGCCCACAATGACAGCGGTCCGCCTGGCAGGCTGGCGCTGCGCTCCGCGGCTCCCCGCCGACGCCTGAGCCAACATAGGGGGCCACAGAATCAGAACGGGCACTTGGGGCGATGCTAGATTTAGGTACCTATTCGCTGCTGTGCTTGCATCTCAACTGCGTGTCTTTCTCCGGGCCTTGCTCATTGGTTTAGGGTTATTGCCCGAAAAGGTCCGTAAGCTTGTAGCTTGGGTACCAAACCCGGTCCATCCGATCAGCCGTGCAAGCCAGCTCTTGCAGAGCTTTTGAAAACCCTGCTGACAATGCTCCCGGAGACTCAGGATCTCACTTGGAGTCCGACAAGCAGCAAAGACCTGGCGTTTCGTCAAAACAGCAACCGCACCTTCCACTGATCCCCGTTCCCCCCTTTCCAGTTCCTTAATCCTCCTCCCCTTGCAACCCGGAACCCTGAACCCTAGACGCTGAAATATGTCTGGGAGAGTCCCTTCTATGGATCACTGTCGGTACCTGCTCTTCCATTCTCCGCAGTGTCGCCATGGCTACAGGCAGGAACTTTACAATTTTACAAGCTGTACTAACCGATACTAACCGAAACTTGAATAAGCAACTTGGGGGTTCACGAAACTAGGGGTACCTTATTGGGGTCTATAATATATTCGGGGTCCTATTTTCGTAAACCCCATTTCGTTGCTGGAGGGCTTCTGGGGGGGCTGCCGAAAAAGCCATCCGTGCTCCCATCCGGAAGGTTCATGCTCGCTAGTGGACGAACTGACATGACTTGGCCGGCGCGGCCTAGCAGCAGCTCAAGGCAACAATATGCAACAGCCTCGTGCCTCACAGAGAAAGAGGGAGAGAGAGAGAGAAAGAGAGAGAGTGAGGAGAGAGGAGGCAGGAGAGAGGAGAGGGGAGAGAGAGAGAGAGAAAGAGGGAGAGATACCAGCGAGGCATTCTTTCTTCTCGAGGCACCACTCTGCTCACTGGACGGCGAAAACCGGTGGCGGTGGTGCCTACAGGCGGTCTAGCTCTCTTGAGAAGTGTGCCCCCAGGCAGTTAGACTCTTACACTGACTTACACTTGCTTTCCACTTGATCAAACCTGTCCCACACTCTTTGATCACGCGGTGCCCTGCAGCCCAGTCGGATACCCCCACACCAAGCCGCGCGCCGCGAAGCCCGTCGCTGGCGCAAGCAGCGGAGCGGCGGGCACTGGCAGGCCCTCGGGCGCCCAGGGGCTTGATGGCTTTGGGGCTGCTGCAATCTTGCGAGGCCGCCGCAGTCACCGCACCTGGCGGCAGCCGCAGCAAGGTTTGAGCCTGGCAAAAAACACGCGGCGAGACGGCGCAAAGGGGGGTCTTGAGGCTTCCTTGGCGCCCGGCCGCGCTGAACACGAAGGCTTGTGGATCCCGTATCTCCTGACTTGCGGCGGAGGAGAAAAAACACAAAAGGCACTAGAAGGCAGATACTTGCAGCAAACAGGGGTCCGGGCTCGGTTTTGGGCTGGTGCGCACTACCACTTGTCCCTCAGGCTCGCGTTATATTGTGCCTGCTCCTTTTCTTCATCCTTAAAAATCTCGGGGAAGGAGGGAAACTCACGGCAGTGCCAACTGTTCAACGAGCTCCCGAGCGTGCAAGCCGCTGTCTAGGCTGATGCTAGGGATCCTAAGGAACCCAAACAAAACCTATGAATTCTGGGATCTCCTACTTTCCCTATAGGGAACCCTGAGTTGTTGCCGATGAAAGCTTCAGCCAAGGGTTCAGGGCTTGCATGAACGCAAGGGGATGCTCGTCGCCCCCTCGGCTAGGACACCGTTGCCGCCGTTTCGCCGTGACTTAGAAGTCCTGTACATGAGGCTGGCCCCCCCGCAGCCGAGGTGCCCTCCAAGCTAAGGAACCCCCTGAAAAGTACTGGCCGCGCAGTCCCCAAGCCCAAAGGCTTAAGCAATGGGCAGTTTCGTCTATGAGGACCTTGGGGCCTAACCGGGATTCAAAAGGGTTCTCGGTTTTTTGGTGCATGCTCTTGAATTCTCACTCAGGCGGACTCTCAGGCGGACTCCATCTCACACGAAGCCTTGGTTTCGCCGGTCTCTTCGCACTGCTCAATCTGCTCACCCTTCACAGCGGGCAGCTTCCTGCAGGACACGGAGGACCTCAGTTCGCCGATGAGCAGGAAGAACAGCAGGAACATCACGAGTCCAAGCACCTCCATGACACCCAGAACCGCGACGGCAGCTGGGCCATCAACAGACTCCTTGACGATGCCGAAGAGGGGCGGGCCGATGATTCCGCTGATGCTCTTCACGGAGTTCAGGATGGAGTAGGACTCTGCCGACTCCGAGCAGTAGGCGGAAGGCATGGTGTCCAGAGGGATGTACACCGCCGCCGCGATGCCATACAGCACGCAGACCTGCGCGAGGGCTGCAGCGGCGGAGAAGCTCTCGTAAGCCAGTGGGAAGGTGAAGGCCAGCAAGGCTGCCAGGAGCATGGCCGCGGCTCCGTGGTACAGCCGCTCAGAGAAGAACTTGATGCTGCGGCCGGCGGCGAGCATGAGCAAGGTTCCGCACAGGTATGGGAGACCATTCAGCACGTCCACCAGCCCCTGAGATGCTGATGCACCCAAGATCTCATGAATCAGCTGCGGAGAGAAGAACATGAAGGCATAGACTGGAGTGGCAATCAGCAGGCTCACGGTGCCCAAATACCATGCCTTCCAGTCGGCCACGCCTCCACGCAAAACTGCACACCGGCCGCTCGTCTGCCCCTTAGGCACCGCAGAGCGGCGTGCGGAATTGCCCCGGGCGCTCTCCAAAGCCAGCTTCTCCCTCGTGCTCAGGGCAAAGTTGGAGCCATCCGCGAGGCAGAAGTACACAACCACTGACACGATGACCGCAAAGAGGCCTTCCGCCACGAAAAGCCACTGCCAATTCTCGTCGACCAGCTTGTTGACAGGCAGCTGAATCAGTCCTGCGGCGAGAGGGCCGGAGATGATACTGGCAATCTGCGAGGCGGCAATGACAACGGACCAGCTTTGGGACACCTCCGCGGCCGGAAGGTAGCTGTCCAAGTGCATGTAGATGAGCGGGAAGGAGCCCGCCTCTGCAAAGCCAATCAGCAGCCGGATCAACACCAGCTCTGCAGCGGACTCCACCCAGGCCGTGAGCAAGGTCGCAAAGCCCCAGAGCGCAATCACTGCAGCCAGCCACGGACGAACGCCGACGCGCTCGGCCATCAGAGCGTGGGGCCACTGGAAGCAGACGTAGGTGTAGAAGAGAGCGCTGCTGGTGGCCCCGTAGCCGACGTCGTCCATTCCGAGCCTCTGCTTCAAGCCCTCGGCAGCGTAGCTGATGTTCCCCCGGTCCAAGTAGTTGGCCACCGTCACAAGGACGAAGACGGGCAGAAGCCGCTTCTTGATCTTCCAAGCTGCCTGGGATGCCTCGGTGGCAGGCTGATCGCAGGGCACGGCCTTCATCATTGAGGCGACAAGAGGTTGTAAGTTTTTCGTGAGAGCCTGAAGACGAGCCTTGAGACCTTGAGCCGCGATGCTCGACATCTTCCGGCATAGACACGTCTTGTATTTTACTATGTGTACATACATATATAGATATACATATACATATACATATACATATACATATACATGTACATGTACATGTACATGTACATGTACATATACATATACATATACATATACATATACATATACATATACATATACATACACATACATACATACATACATACATACATACATACATACATACATACATACATACTTACTTACATACTTACATACATACATACATACATACATACATATGTAAAAGACGTATATTTCTATGAAGATGTATACTTGCATGTCTGACTTATCGGTACAAGATGTTACAAGTATCAAGCTTGCCTCCGGCCCTCCCTTGGCGTCCATGTCCCACAGGATGGCGAGCCTCAGGAAAACACGGAACTCGGCTACTCGGCAGCCCTGTCGAAGGCCCCGTACTTTAAGTTTCTGAGGGCTGAGGGCTGAGGGCTGAGGGCTGAGGGCTGAGGGCTGAGGGCTGAGGGCTGAGGGCTGAGGGCTGAGGGCTGAGGGCTGAGGGGGGTTGAGGGTTGAGGGTTTAAGGCGTTCCCTGTTGGGGTACGAGTACCCTGTAAAAATCTGGATCCGTCAAGAGAAACGGAACATGGCCGACGGCGGCCTTCTCCAAGGGAGTTTGCGACTGCACAGTCCAAACAAGACGTCGAAGAAAAGCTCCCACTGAGGCTCCCGGCGCAAACTGCGGAGGGAGGTTCATGAGAGAGCCACGGCAATGGCCATCCAGCTGGACACAGGGCTTGAGGCTCGGGGTTCAGGGTCTCGCGGCTTAAGGCAGTGACCATCCCTGGAGGCTGGCAGGATGAAGGCATATGCTCAACTCGCTCAAGTATGACCCCTTTCATGGGGCCGTATTACGACAATAACAAGGGGCCCAAAACCAATTGACCACGATCTAGCGAAACTGACCATAGTGGGTTGTTAGGGTTCATCAAATGTCGATTCTTACAGGAGCCTAAACCTGAATCATGATGTGTTGCCCTCGGTGTACTATGGAGGTCCATCGAGGCCATGCCAAGTTTCCTACAAATTATTCTGCGATCCGCTATTGTTTGGGCTACTGCGCTTCCTGCGAAAGTTCGGGGCCGGGGACACGAAGCCCCTCAGGCCCCGCAACCCCAAAAGAAACATCGAGCTTCAGATTCCCCAAATCTGGACCTGGGTTTCATGCAAGCTCCTTGAAAAAGACCGCTACGGAACGATGCGCCCAACAATTTTTCAAGGGGGTAGCCCGCCAGCTGCACCCGCTGGCACTTGCGTATACACATGCATGGGCAGTATACTCAGTATACTGTTCTGGTGGTCCGCATGATCTCCGCGAAGGAGCTTCAGTGTTTTTCCTTGCAGATTTGTTTTGGCTGAGGGGAGGAGGGTGGAGGGGAAGGGGGGAGTGGGGGAGGAAAGGGAAAGATAGCACCAATGTCATCCTCACAGCCCACATGAGAACTACTCTCAAATCGGGGCCTGTGGGAAGCGCGCCAGCATCTGCTGCACCTCAACATCAGACTTGGGGGGCAGAAGGTTTTGGCCCTAAACCCTAAACCCTAAACCCTTCGGTGCAGGACCTCCGAGAACCGGGCTGCCTGGGCTGAAGGAGGCGGCCACTCTGATGGGTCCACCGTGCGCTTCCTGGGCGGAAGCTTCATCCAGAGGTGACCCCTACCGATCAACCCTACTAAACCGACCAACCCTAGCAGCCACCCTAATTCTCACCCTACCAGCCCTATCAACCCTATCAACCATCCTATCAACCACCCTATCAACCCTGCCAACCCTAAACCCTAAACCCAATCAACCCTATCAACCCTAAAAAGCCCGAGGGCCGTCTGAGGCCATCTCAGGCTCCGACGCCGCCGAGATCGGGACGTCAGCATTCGCAGTCGCACCTGGCAGGAGGGGAAGACTCCGCCACCAGCGGCCAAGAGAGGGAGAGGGTTTCGGGGTTTCGGGGTTTTGGGGTTTCGGAGTTTCGGGTTTTAGGGCTTAGGGTTGAGAGGAGGGCTGAGGCGGTGTGCGGATGTCTGAATGAATGATGTTTCCTGCAATCTACCACCAAGCCTAGAAACCCTAGACCAGAGAATCAGAGATTAGGTCCTCTGTGAAATCCCTTCAAAGGTTGGTAAGAGTGGTAAGATACCTAACTCCTTAACTCCATGGTACTAGCAAAAACTCATACGTACACTTCTGAAACCTAAACTTCATCCCACACGGATGGAATCCACTTCCGTAGCGCTGATCAGATTGCTTCGCTCAGTCGCGCGTGACTAAATTGAGTGCCTTGACAGGGGGCCAATGTACGACAGCTCTTTTTTGAGGTGGCTTCTCAGAAGAAACAATAACAACCCAAACAAGTCAAGCACCTCAATACCCATCACATACGCCGTTCTGGCATGCTACAGTATAGCACATTGAACTCAACATTTGCCACAAAGTGTCTGTGGTTTGTGAGGAGGGGTGGCAGGGGGGGGGGGGAGGGGACTCGAGTATAGGGGGGACTCGAAACCCTGAAAACCCCGTCACGGAAAGGGAGGACTGCCTGCCAGCTCCCGGGACGCTGGCGCGCCGGGCGGAGGCGGCGGCGGCTGAAGGTTAGACCTCCCAGAGGGAGCCTAAAGGGTTTCGGGTTTAGGGTGTAGTGTTTAGGGTTTAGGGTGTAGGGTTTAGGGTTTAGGGTTTGCGGGTCAACTTCAGGTACGCAGTGGCTGCAAGTTCACTTGCTGCAAGTCCGCGTGCCAAGGTGGCGCCACCACTCCCGGGTGGAGTGTCCGATCCTAAATCAAAATTCCTCACATCTTGTTTAAGGATCAAGCTGACTCGGGGCACTCGAAACCCTCAACCCGAAACCAGCAACCTGAACCCGAACGAAACCCTGAACCCTGAACCCTAAACGCTGAACCCTGAACCCTAAACCCTAGACCCTGAGCCCTGAACCCTAAACCCTAAACCCTGAACCCTACACCCGAAACGCTCGAGCCGGGACCCCCGGCGGTGGGGCACCAGGAGGCGGTGGTGGCTCCGTCCTTTGACGTTGCGCGGGCGGAAGAACCCGAGACCAGTGCCGCTTAATGAAGTCTAAAGAGGGTTTAGGGTTTAGGGTCGAGGCTTCAGGGTTCAGTTTCTAACCGAGCATCTATGTCAAATCAAACCCCCCACCCCACCCCTGCACCCCTGCCCTACAAAGCACTCCTCGAAAGCTGAGGTTGGGGCGCTGCCGATGCGACTCCCCCTGCCTTTGGAAGTCTGCATGGCACACGTGGGTTCTGGCTGCTTTGTCATTGCGAGTGAACTGCAAGCGATGTCTCAGCATGCAGCGCGTCCCTAAACTCAACACCCTGAGCCCTAAACCACACGCCAGGGGCCTGCGATCTGAGTTTCCCGACAAGACCCTAAGCTTCGAGCCCTGAAGAGCCCCTGTTGCCCTTAAACCCCCAGGGCCTTTTGCAGCAGGCTTGGCGCTAGGCTTGCTGGCCTGCTCTTCGCCCAACCCTGAGTTGCAAACCCTAGATCTCCAACCCCGCGAAACCACCCTGAGCGCCTGCGCCGGGGGCGGTGGCGTCCTGGAGAGCAGACACTTGGGCAGCTGGGGTGAGGTTTAAGGAGTTTCGGGTGCAGCGAAACCGTCGCACAACAGAGGCCCTGCAGAAAATTCAGTCCCACAAAACGTACTCTTATTGTGCAGAGTTAGCTTCGTGCTCCGTACCGCATTCCTGAATTGAGGTGCCCCAATGTCCAAATTACAAGGCACAATTGCTGAATGATTAAGCAATTTAGGGTCTAGAGGCAGCTTTAAGGCAACAGAGGGACCTACCAGTAAGAGGTTTCCCGATGAAGGGGTAAAGGGGGCTTGCCAGCGCCCCAGCACCCTGCCAGGACGCCCCACCAACGCCCGATACTTGCACGCTTCCCACAAACGGCGGACAGGCTCCTCCCTGACCCTCTGGGTCGAGGCGCATTGTTTTTCTGGGAAGCCCCAAACCCCAGGCCTTAAACCCCAAACCCTAAACACGACTCTACGATTTCGAGCCTGGGGCCAAAGCAACATCCTAGTGGAACATGGACATAGAGGGCGGTCGCAGTGAATCCAAAGTACCTTTTTGGGGGTCCTGCAACAAGGATTCTCATGGCTTCGGGTACGTCAGGGGGTACCCCCTATGTTCATCAACATACTTACCCCGGTTGCGAACCCACCATACTGAAACTGGGCGGAGCCCAATCACGCCTCGTGGTCACCACCAAACCCAGCGCCTTTTGGAGCTCCGGCCCTGGCAGCAGAAGTGGCTAAGCAGGGCTTGGACTCGGAAATGCGAAGGCTGTTCCAAGATCCCGAGACCACCGTGGACCCTGACCCTCTGCGACTGCATGTTCGGGCTCTGGGTTCAGGCAAACGAAATACAGGGCTGCCACACGAAGCATGGACGGGCTGTTCAAGTTGTAGTACAAAGTGTGCGACATGTTACCTCATGTACGGGAAAAGCTCTGCCTTGCGCTGAAAAAACATATGTATACATGTATGTACAGAGGCGTGATTATACTGATTTGCTCATAGACACCCGTGAACATACTTGGTCAAAGGCCCTGAAACATGGGCCCCAGACTGCCTTGCAGTCCAACCCTGAACCCCAAAATACCTAAACACCCAAACCCTGAGTCCCTGATCTCCTTAACCCCTAAACCTTAAACCCTAAACCCTAAACCCTGAACCCCAAACCTTACACCCTAAACCCTAAACCCTAAACCCTAAACCCTAAACCCTGAACCCCAACTCCCTACATGCACAACCCGAAATACAGGGACGGCTCCGGGTTGCTGAGCCTGGACCGAAGGACTCCTCCGCCTCCGCGGGCTCCAAGAGCGCCTTCAACAAGACCTCCCGCTCACCACGCTCAGGGTTTAGGGTTTAGGGTTTAGGGTTTAGGGTTTTGGGTATTGAGGGTTTAGGGTATTGAGGGTTGAGGGTTGAGGGTTTAGGGTTTCGAGCTAAGGGTTTTGCTGCAATCGGTTTCGTCAGCAAAACTCCCCCAGAATTAGGAAGCATTGCACGACACCTGTTCAAACCCGGAGAGCAGTCTTTCGGGCGGGGTGGCCCCAAAAACATGTTCTTGCCCGCGCTGCCCGAAGCTTCTATCCCTGCAGTGCTCACGTTGTCGGGGTCTCTTTGTCGGAGTGCGCCTGCAGCTTTCCGTCTACTCCTTCTAATTACGAGGCCCGAATCCCAGGATCAAGCCCCCCCAAAGTCGCTCCGCAAGCTGCAGCCTGATCTGCAGGCCAAAAGGAGAAAAACTCACTGCCGAATTCGTGCTTTGGGCTGATGAAGAACCCCCCTCCCCCCCTCCCCCCCTTCCCCCGCCCAAGCCGGCCTTCTCCGCCAAGCCAAGCTTTCGGGAAGGGCCCAGGGCTGAGGCCCTTGGGTTTTTGCGTGTGTAGCTGTTTCCGGATTTTTGAGGGCTTCGCATCCACGTACAGGCCGACCCGGGAAGGTGCGCTGCGCTGCAGCTCAGGCAACCGGGGTTGGGAGGAGCTAGGGTTGCTGGTGTATCACCACCGAAATCATAATCATCATCATAAACATAATGTCTGTAGTAGTAGCAAGAACCATGGTAAGTAGTACCAGTCAGCAACCAGCAGCTCTATCTGCAAAAGAAGATGTTATGGTTTGGGGGAGTTTCCTCGTGTCCTGGGCTCCCCTACAACGCTGCTGCTACTCCAAGGCCATCTGCCGCAGCGGCTTTCGTTGCCTCCGGGTGAAGTGCTTGAAGGGGTGTTGAAGGGCTTCTTACAAAAAGGGCTTGGAAGTGGCTTGTTAGCTATGCTTTCTGTTGCCGGGCTTTAGGGCAGGGGATCTCAAGGTTAAGGGTTTCTAGGCTTCGGGTGCAGGCTTCAAAGGCTTTGGGCTCAGGGGTCTGTCCTGGGCCTTCGACAGTTCTCTGACGGCTGGAGGCTCGGGGTGTTTAGGGTTGTTGGGTTCGGCCCTGAACCGTAAACCCTAAAACCGTTTGGGTGTTGAGGGAGGGCCTGGGGCATCTTGGTTTTGAGGCTAAGGGTTGGGAGGTATGCTTCTGACAGCAGGGATGAACAGGGATTTCGGGGCTTCGGGGGTTGGATGCATTCGTGAGTTGCTACAACACCACCGTGCTCAATGTTGTCATGCAAAGCTATTGATGAAATTTAAAAAACACTTGTCCATACACACAAACCGCGATGTTTTCTAGGCCCACAGCTGCCTACCTTTTAAACTCGTACAAGGAACATGAGCCATGCATGAGATTGCACCTAGTTCCTTCCCAGCCCATAAGACTCAATATTGAAGGGTTCTTTTTGACCTTGTGAGCGCCCTCAGAGTTGGAAATGAAGGAATAGCGTGCATTAACCAATCTCAGCTGTCATGTGTGCTCGCTTGGCTACAAAGTACCCATCACTTCCGCAATATCGTTTTTGAGGCAGGGCTAACTTGTAAGCCGCATCTTGGATTCTTGGAGATGAAGATGTCTCGTGCATAATAGAAGCCGTGCAATCCGACCTTATGTCGGGTGGGGCTTTCCTAGTGTCTTGGAGTTAGAAGAGACCGCTGTGAACAGGAAGTAAGCGCTAAGAACCCCCAAGACCCTCAAACCCGCCAATAACCCTGCACCCTCCTCACCCTCTCTGCCTGCAGGCCCGTGCCCGCCAGCGCGGCCAAAGCGGCCAGCTCCTGGCCATGCTTTCGGGTTTAGGGCTTAGGACTTAGGGCTGGCCCTTGCCTCGATCAAGTCCAAGCAACAGGGAATCTATAAGTTCCTGGTGATTTAAGGCAAATAGGGCTCATAGGGTTTAGGGAGGACGTTTAGGGCTTAGGGGCTCCAGGGCCCAAAGGCTTCGGGATTCAGGGGTTGAATTCGTAGGGTGAGGGCTTCGGCGCGGCCCGCGCCAAGACCCCACGACTTCCAGCCTCGACGGTGAAGCTGCGACGGTTTCGCAGCTGCTCGTCGTCCTGGCCGCAGAAAGGCTCTATGTTCAACAGTTTCTTTCCTGAACCCTAAACCCCAAACTCTCGGCCCTCAAACCCAAAACACAATGACCTCAAGGGCCAAGGGCCCTCCAAGGGCCCCAGGGATCCGCAGGCCTTCAGGCTGCGCCGCTTCCGCGCCGGGCCACCCGGCCTGTGTGCCGCACAGAGCCCATTTTTGGGGGGTTTAGGGAGGGTACAGGGTTTAGGATGGTTTAGGGTTTAGGGTTAAGGGTTAAGGGTTTAGGGTTTTTAGGGTTTTAGGGTTTTTAGGGTTTTTGGGGTTTAGGGTTTAGAGTTTAGGGTTTAGGGTTCAGGGTTTTGGGTTGAGGGCCTGGGGTTTTTGGCGCTTTGCCAGGTGCACGCAGCGCTGGTTGGTTCTGCATTCAGCTGGTCACTCTGACAGGTGCGTTCTCGTCTCCTGTAGAGCTTTTCAGAGGCCGAGGGGGGGGGGTTCGTAGCCACAACCAGCGCAATCAACCCATGACCCCTCTGCCCTCAATCCCGAGCCTAAGTCGAACCCCTCAAGCCCGAAGCCCGAACCCTGAAACCTTAAACCCAACTAAACCCTCAACCCTAAACCTGAAACATGTAAGCCCCAAACCCTTCAACCCGCCCCAAGACCCTCTAAAGCCCTGAACTTCTTGCCCTTAGGGCTTTTTAACGTTAAACAACCCTAAACCCCCTAAACCCTAAACCCGAAACCCTTAATGCCTCTAAAGCCCTGAACTTCATTCCCTGCCACCGAGCCGCACGAGTGCCTGGGGGCGGGCGGGCTGGGGGACTCTAGACATGGCTTCCCCTCTCTGGGTTTAGGGTTTAGGGCTTAGGGCTTAGGGCTTAGGGTTTAGGGTTTAGGGTTTAGGATATAGCAGGGTTTAGGGCTTAGGGCTTAGGGTTTAGGGTTTAGGGATATGAAACCATGCCCACCAGGGGCGAAACTCATTCCAGGGAGTCGGGCTTGGCGCAAGCCTCGCTGATGCTCCATCTACTGAGTTCCCAGAGTTTGCGCAGCCATCCAGCATGTTCCTCCACGCTTCCACACATACTCCGGATTTATGCGCTCTGAAGGCTGGCAACCAGGACTACCCCGACGAAGAGGGCGGAATGGCTGAACACCATACTACAAACCACGACCACCGTCCACCCGACAAACTTACGGGCCCATGTTTGGGGCCTCCCTTAGGGTCCCTTCCTTCAAGGCCCCTACACCAGAACTCCAAACCTATGAACCCCAAACCCTAAAGCCCCAAAGCACTGCAGGGAGCGGCTTGCCAAGGCTTTGGATGCTTGCAGGCCAGGCCGCGTCATCGCCTGCCGCGCCAGAGCCGTCTCCAGCCTGGCACCATTCATTCGTGTTAAGTGCGGTTTACGGCTCAGGGTTTGCCGTAGGCTGGGCCTGTGGCTGAAGAGTCTTGGGTCATCAAGCGCATTGTGCTATGCGGCTGGCTGTGGACGGATTGTAGAGTCTAAGGCAGCAAGCCACCGATACCTGTTCTTCTTCGGGTTTGGGCCTAAAACTCACTTGCACGCTTGTTTGTACATGCCTCTTGGCCTGAGACGCATACGAACTTTCCGGGGCAGCCTTATGGGGGCATCTCTGGCTCTCTTGGAGGTCCGGAGAAGCCCCAAAGGGGTGTTTTCTGGCCTGGAGAGGCCTTCCAAGCCCTGAATAGGGACCTTCGAAAGCTGCGATTCGTGGGAGAGACCTGACCCTACACAACCACCCCATCAAACCCTTAGCAAACCTGGCTTCGGGGGCTTTGGGCCTAGACCCGACCCACTGAACCCTCAACCCTCTAACACTAAAACCCTCAACCATGAGCCTTGAGCCCTTAACCCGAAAACCCGAAAACCTCAAAACCTACAACCCTCAAACCCTAAAACCCTAAAACTCCCCCCAAAACCCCGAAAAAAACCCTAAAGGTGGCCCGAGCCCTTTGTTGCGCTCTGCCGCGGGCAGACCTTGCCGCGCTCGACCAAGCGGAAAGCCAGCTTTGGACCTCTGGTTTAGGGTTTAGGGTTTAGGGTTTAGGGTTTTAGGGTTTTAGGGTTTTAGGGTTTTAGGGTCTTAGGGTTTTAGGGTTTTAGGGTTTTAGGGTTTTAGAGTTTTAGGGTTTTAGGGTTTTAGGGTTTCAGTGTTTTAGGGTCTGGGGTTTGGGGGTTAGGGTTTTCGGCTCTGGCGTTTTAGGGTGCTGGGGCTCGGGGGCTTAGAGCTCTTGGGGTTCTACAGGCTTTGGGTTCCAAACAAAGGCCCTCCTCCACCTCCCTCGTGCTTGAAACCTTAAAACCCTACACCTAAAACCCCAAGGCCCTTCAACCCTGAAAACCCTAAGACCCTAAAGCCCTGAAAACCCTAAACCCCAAAACCCTAAAACAGCCACCACACTTCTACCATCCTCCACCCGGTGATCGGGGTCCGGGCCTGTCCGGGCCGTAGCCTTCTCCCCCTGGCGCTTTCCGGGTTTGGGGCTATTTGGGGCGCCCTCTTGGGGAAACATCCGTTTGGGGTTTAGGGTTTGGGGTTTCGGGTTTGGGGTTTGGGGTTTAAGGGCTTTTTCGGCCCAGGGTTTCGGGGCTGTCACGAGTACGCCTTCTGTGGTTGCGAGCCTTTCAGGTTCAGCGTGCAGGCTTCTTTGGGGGCTTCAGGGTTTTGTGGGGGTTTTGGAGTTCAGGGTAAACCGCGACTGAACCCAAAGCCTTTAGGCCTGAAACCCTGAATCCCTAAACCCTAAGCCAGGGCCCTGAGTCCGAACGTAGGGTTGAGGGTTTGGGGTTTAGGGTTCAGGGTTCAGGGTTTAGGGTTTAGTTTAGGGTTTAGGGTTTAGGGTTTAAGGCTTAGGGCTTAGGGCTTAGGGTTTAGGGTTTAGGGTTCAGGGTTCAGGGTTTAGGGTGACCGGCATCTCTGAGCATCTTCGCCTTGTTGCTGTCGCTGTCGGGCATAGCTCTGCCTTCGGCGCAGGACTTGTGGTTGGTCAGGGTTTAGGGTTTAAGGTTTAGGGTTCAGGGTTTAGGGTTTAGGGTTTAGGGCTTTGAGGAGTTGAGGGGTTTAAGCCGGGGTAGTCTTGTAGCTGCATGCAAACCAGGATAACCCTGCTTTCTTCTGCCTATGACCCACAGGAACGACTGTTACCCATCCTATGGGCTTGCTAGGGCGCTTGCGGGGGCTGTTCTCGTGTCTGCATGGGATCCTGCTGGGTGTCCCGCGCGCCATCACTTGGCTCGCGCCGTCGCCTGCACGATGCTTCCCTCCGTGTCATGCCCCACACGCTTCAGCAGTGCATTGTGGCCAGCAGCTCCTGCTCAGAGTCATCTAGCAGCCTGCTAGCTACCAACACCCATCTCGGCCGCCTATGGGCTCCGTCCAGGGCTCCCCATGGCTGTGGAGTGATCACGGGTAAAGTCGGGTAGAGTTCGCTAAAAGAGCTCCTGGATCCCCCCCAAGTTGTGAGGTTCAACTCGTCGAGGGATTTCTGTTTTTCGGCTTTGTCATGGCTTGGCTTCGGGATTTGGGGTCCTTCGGGGTCCTGCTGTTTTGGGCTCGGGGATTCGACATGTGTCCGAACCATGATGCAATCAGCAGCTGCAGACACACGGCAAGACGGCAAGCCCATGGACCCGCGCACCAAGTCTCTCCGTCTGTGGTATGGCAGGCCGTGGACTTTGAAAAGAGCTGCGATCGCACCAGTTCCTGAGCTTTGTCTCGGGCATCGGTTGTTTTCCGAGCTCAGGCCGCAGCGGGAGACCACTGCGAATGGGTGTTTCACTGTGATGCAGTGAAGCTGTCCAGCAGCCTATCGTTGGACAATGGGACGAACGCAATGCTCGCGAAACGCAGGCTCCACGATGCATGGGAGTCTTTCCATTCACAGATGAGTACTTGGAGCACTGCATCAGATGTGGGGGTCTACGAAAATAGGGGGCCCCAAAATAGATCCCCAAATAGTAGGATCCCCTTGTAATGAGGACCCCAGATGAAGGTGCCCCTAGTAAGGCCGGCAGACTCCCAAGCTGGCCTTTGACCGCATCTTCTCAGACGCAGTGTCCATCCCAATGTTGTTGGCAGCCCAGAGAGGCTCGCTCTCTGTTTTTTGCGTGCGCATCTTCTCAACTTGCGAACCCCATAGCAGGTCTTAACTAGAACCTCTTGAAGAATTGTGGCAAGGCCTCCCCAAGATGCCCCCAAAATGGGCATGTCCCAAAATGGCAAGTCACTCCCCATGGTTTTCTTTCCCGCACGCAGAGCTGCACGCAGCGGCCCTGCGCGGATGGCACGTTATCGAGGTCGCAGGGGACCACAGGACGAAGTCTTTCGATTTCCTGCAGTACACGCAAGACCTAGGTAGGAACTGCATCTCTTTGTTGGCACCTTTCTGCCAACAGATGTCAACAGTGTTGCCGCCCCGGTCTCGCCTAATTGCGGCGAGCGCTCTAGGCACGGGCACGCAGACTCGCCGACACCCGGTGCTCTTCCAAGACAGTGCTTGCGTCCACCTGCCAGATGGTGCAGTAGTTGGGTTGCTCTCAGCTGCCACGAGTCACTTGTTCTTCTGACTGGTCACACCCTGAAACCTGAAAACCTAAATCGTAAACCCGAAGAAACAATGCCAACTGCCACCTCTCCGACGCAACACTCGGCTCGCACGCTGTTTAGCACCTTGGCCGCGGGTTCGTGCGGAGGTTGTTTTTAAATAGGGTCCCGGTGGCTCGCCTGCTTAACGCAGTTCGATGTTCAAGGGATCCAAAAGGGCACCCAAGTTGTTAGCAGCTCCCATGTGCAGTGGAAGGGAGCAAGCTGAGGGAGCCGCGTTCTCCCCGTGCGACGCCTCGAAGACGCTGGTGCCATCCTCACCAGGCCAAAAGAAGGAAGGAAGGAAGGAAGGACGTAAGAATACAGAACACTACAGCCTTGCGTGGTAGAGCAAGATTGTCTCAGCAAGAACAGAGACGGATTGTATTATATGAACATAAGGTATAAGCATCTGATTAATTAATACCCCCACATTTAAAGAAATTTTTTTTGGCCGGAAGCCCGCCGGAAGACTACTTTCCATTAGGGTGGATTTCGTATGGGACAAACCCCCCACATTTAAAGGAATTTTTTTGGGGGGGGTTCAAAAATCTGTCGGCAGGCTTCTTGTTTTGCTTGCGGAGACGCGAAGCTACAGCACCTCAGGGATCTGCAGCCTATTGTTTTTAATAGAGAATCAATACAGGGCCACGGTCCAACTATTGCGGAACCCTGCATTCCTTATTGTGGGGGGGGGGGGGCCCCCACCCACTAATCAGATGCTCGGATTAAGTAACAACCACGAAAATCTGGTCATGATGGCAATAGTGACTCGACAGCAATAACCATCATGCCAGTTGTAACAGTCTTAAGATGTAGCACAAGCACACACACACACACACACACACACACACACCCACGCGCGCGCACACACATTTAGATAGTCGCCTCGGCTTCCAGCCGAGAGGCGTCTGGACACAAAAAATGCACTTTTGGGCATTTCAGGACCTCTCCGTAACCTCCCTGGGACCCCCTGCGACCCACCGCCTGGGTCTCCCCAAACCTCTCTTGCGCTCGTTTGGGCTGCACACCACACACCCCGTGTTGGGCCAGCCCGGCTGCGGAGGCGGCGCGCGCGAGCGTCTACAACAGCAACAGTAACAAAGATAAGAAGAGCAACAATAACCGCAGAAAGCAACAGTTGCAAAACTGAGAACAATGACGACGAAAACAACAACCCCCACGACAAGCACAGCTGGCACGACAAACAACATACCACGACAACCACAACAGCCACCACAACCGCGACAACCACAACAACCACGACAGCCACGACAACCAGCACAAGCACAAGCACGACCACGACCTCGACAAGGACGACGAGAAAATAATAACAATGATGACCGTAATGAACATTAATCAAAAAACAAGAGGGTAGCGATCATATTGGAAATTACGCAGATCAGTCCTAAGATTGAGGGCTTAAGAGCATTCAATCCTTGCCCGCCAGGTCTGTGATCAGCTTGCTTCCGCCCACCTTTGCAGAGATGCTTCTTGCACTCTTGGCCGGGTCTTGCTCGACAGGGCATCAAAATTCAGGGCTCGGGAACATTCCCATTTCAGGGCCATGTAAGGGCCCTTGGGCATGTGCGACCAGAGCCACGTGCCCAAGCGCGAACTTTGTCAGGTCGTAGACCCGTCCTTGGACGTCAGTGGGCTTTCTGCCGATTGACTGCATGGACGCTCTTTCTTTCACACAACTCTGGCGTTCTGCAGCCAAGTGTCCGTGGAGCACGACCCAACAATCCTCTGGTGAGCTGTGCTTCGCGACCTCTTCCATGGAGATGGTCCTAACTTCCGGCTCCTCCGCCACAAAGCACTCGCCGTAGTCCCCGTACTCTGCCATAGCGTAGGCCATTTGCTCGTCCATGGCCCCAATACCCCGCCTCCGGCAGGGCCCAAAGTGGATTTAAGGAAAACTGGAGCTGCTGGCCGCTGGCCACAACACAAAAACGCCGCGGGGCAGAAACACCATCATGCTACGTTGATAGAGAGAGAGAGAGAGAATATGAAGAAGAGGTGGAGGAAAGGGAGAAAGGGAAAGAGAGATGAGGGGAGCGGGACAGTCATGAAAAGTCATGCACCTTGCCTGTATACCTAACCACGCGCAGCGAGCACTTTTCGCAGCTTGCCGTGCCCGGGTGACGGGTGGGTACTGCGAGTGAAACGTCCAAGCCGCTTTCAGCTTTTGCAGTCGAAGCAGAGAATGCCGTCCAAATGCGCAAGTCTGAGCTGGAAGATCGGAACATGGATCGGAGCTGTTCAAGCGATGAACTTGCGCCTGGCGCCGGCAGGTGCTACGAAGGGTCATTATCACGCTCCCGAAACCGGGGCTTCCATTAGAAAGCGCCGACCCTGCTCAAGATGCTTTGATCAAGGCTGGGTCGGCCCTGAACCCTAAACCCTAAAACCCCAAACCCTAAACCCTAAACCCTAAACCCTAAACCCACCCCTCCCAACGTCACGTCGCGTGGCCAGGGACGGAGGGCATGGTCCAGAAGTTCGTGTCCTGATGCGCAAAGGACACGCAGCCAGGTGCCGAAGGCGAGCTTGTGGGAGCGGGGGGAGGGAGTCCAACAAAACAGGTGGAGTCCAACAGAACAGGTACCACAGGTACCTTTTTGGGGGCGTTTAGAACAAGGATGGTAGTTTTTTGGGGTACATGAGGGGAGGTTAGATCCCCATTGAGGAGGTACCCTGAAGCACCCTAAAGCCCAAGCAGAAGTCCCCTGAAGCCCTTGCTCCCCTTAGGCTGCACTCACACTCGGGCCTCGTGCTCGAAACCCACGAACTCCCTGGGCCAGGGAAATGAAGACATGACATAGTACATAAAATGCTTTAGGGTCGTCCAGGATGCCGCCCCCCCGCCACCCCCCGTGTGTCACCCCGCCCCTCACCCCTACCAGACGATACAATCCATACCATGCAGGAAGGATCCATCTATCCATTTACCTATCTACCCAGCCACCCATCTATCTGCCTATCTATACATACATACATACATACATACATACATACATACATACATACATACATACATACATACATGTATATATGTATATCTATGTATAATATGGCTCGTGCAGGACTTCGGGCTTCGGGCTTCAACCGCCCCGCGCTTGGGGATCCGGGTTTCGGGTTTCCGGGTGCAGCGGAGGCGCAAGAGGAAGGCGCTTAAGAGCGGCAGGTTCGTGTTCTTGGGCAAGGCCATCGGATGCGAGACCGTGCCCCCGGCCTTGCGAGAAACCGTGAAACATAAACTCCAAAGCTAAACATCACGAACCATACACCCTGAAGCCCTCAACCCTAAGCAGCAACTCTGTTCGGCTTCGGCTTCGTGCTGCTCTCAGGGTACGACAGCTACGAGCCGCGCCTCGTTCCGCACGCAGTGGAAGACGTAGTAGTGCCAAATGAAGAGACTCCTGGGGGCATTTCAGCGGCATTTCCTTTATCAGGGTCCCTTTCAAAGGAGATCAAACTCCAGGGCTCAGGGGAGCGGAATTCGGGCCGCGCGGCGAAATCGCAATGGCCGCGACCATCTTCATGGGGATCAGGTCGTAGATGTCATTGACGCTCCAGGAGTTGTCGATCTGCTCTTGGTTCTGACCAGACGCAGATGGGGGTTTCCGAAATTCGGGGATGCCTTCTCGGGGTCCTGATGATAAGAATACTATTATTTGGGGTCGATGCTAGGGGTCCATCCCCAGACGTTTGCCAGTGGATCAGGGCGGCTTGCAACAGTGGGCTTGACCTGACACAGAATTAGGCGAGGTTTAGGGTTTAGGGTTTAGGGTTTAAGGTTTAGGGTGTAGGGTCTCCACAACCCAAGCCTTTGCAAAGAGCTCCTCGTCAGACAAGTGATCCTGCCAGAGCACGGCACTGCAGCTACGTTTGCACCAGGAACCCCTCAACCTCCAACCCTAAACCCCTTTAAACCCGAAACCCTGAACCCTAAACCCTAAACCCCCAACCCTAAACCCTAGACCCTTTAAACCCCAAACCAATTAAACCAGCTGTCAGATCTGCGCCGGTCCAGGGTATCGATATCTCGGAGCTCTCCGAGCAAGTGGACTTCCAGCTTCTTGAGGATCTGGCTCCTTGAGGCGAGGAGTCATGCAAATCTCATTGGGGACAAGATAAGGGTTTGGGGTTTGAGAAGCTTAGGGTTTAGGGTTTAGGGTTTAGGGTTTAGGGTTTAGGGTTTAGGGTTTAGGGTGTAGGGTGTAGGGTGTAGGGTTTAGGGTTTAGGGTTTAGGGTTTAGGGTTTAGGGTTTAGGGTTTAGGTGAAAACAAGAATTTGCCTTGCGGTTGGCAAAAAAACACAAGCGCGACTCACTCTGGGGGCGCGACGCAGACCACGGCATGAGCCTTGGGACCCGAGGTGTGGGGTTCAGGGCTTAGGGCTTAGGGCTTAGGGCTTAGGGCTTAGGGTTTAGGGTTTAGGGTTTAGGGTTTAAAGTTTAGGATTTGGGTGGTTCCTGAAAGAGGAGTACCCCGCACGTACACAAAAATACGATTGGTAAGGTCAGAAGAGCTACATCAAATCAGGGCATCTTCCAGGGTATCCCTTCTTTTGCCCGGATCCTTAAGGCAGCTCAGCCCAGGGGCTCGATGCAGATGAGCTCATCGATCTGGAGGATGAAAGAAAGGCCGACGGCGTTCACCACCACATTCTCGATGCCTGAGGAACCAGGGCTGCTCTGGGGACGGACTCTCCAGATGACAGCCCCTCTTTGGGGCAACTCAAGGGGAGGTTCCGTGATAAAGTTGGAAGTCACAAGTGACCTTAGCAGGGACCCGATATGAAGAAAAGCTTGGGACACAACTTCCCATGGTGATGTGCAGTCTCATCCCAGACTACCCCGAGAAGGCGACCCAATTCATCCCATAAGCCCTTGAAGACAAAGCCATGTCTGTTTCTGGCTCATTGGGTCCTTGGCGGACATGGGCATCTCTCTGCTAGAGGTCCCCTAACATCGCGGAATCCCCATTGCAGGAGACAGAAGGGCACCCTCGGACTCGCCTTGCTTCTCCCGATGTCAATCGGCGTTGCCTAAACTTCTAAAACCCAAGCCAGCCTGCCTTGCGTCTCCATGAGGAAGCAGATCCCCGCTTGCGCGGTGACCTTCCACAGAACCATCTTCGGCAACCTGGGGCAGAATGTTCATGGTCGTCTAAATGTTCAGGTGTTGAGCGTTTCCCTGAACCCTCAACCTTGAACCCTAAACCCTAAACCCCAAAACCCTAAACCCTAAACCCTAAGCCCTAAACCCTATACCCTAAACCCTCACATGCTCCACCAAAAGGGGAGCCGGAGCTCCCACACACCAGGCCCTTCCTTGGGCGGCCCTTGCGCAGCCGAGGCACAGGATGATCACCACGTTGACGATCTTCCAGAACAAGGGCATCCCTGCCCAGGCTTGCGGGTCATGTTTGGGTTTAGGGTTGAGGGCTGAGGGTTTAGAGTTTAGGGTTTAGGGCTTAGGGTTGAGGGTTGAGGGTTTACAGTTTAGGGTTTAGGGTTGAGGGTTTAGAGTTGAGGGTTGAGGGTTGAGGGTTGGGGTTTTCTTGTCAAATCGAAGCTCCGAGTCCTTTCTTTGAGGGGGGGGGCGGGTTGTTCCTTTCATGGGCAGGCATCTGCAGGTATGGATGCTGCATACCCTGGAATGGTGTTGGTGTGCGTCGGGTTACCAAGGCCTCCCTTAAGCTTTGAACCCTAAACCCTAAACCCTAAACCCCAAAAACCCTAAACTCTAAACCCTAAACCCTAAACCCTCAACCCTCAGTCTTGAAGCCGCTCTTGAAGCCTGCGATCTTCAGCTTCACGAAGTCGATCTCAGACTTTCCAGTGATGGCTTTAAGGTGGTCCTCACTGCAGCTCAGGGTTCAGGGTTTAGGAGTTTAGGGTTTAGGGTTCAGGATTCAGGGTTCAGGGTTTAGGGTTTAGGGTTTAGGGCTTAGGGTTTAGGGTTTAGGGTTCAGGGTTTAGGGTTTAGGGTTTAGGGTTTAGGGTTTAGGGTTTAGTGTTTAGGGTTTAGGGTTTAGGGTTTAGGGTTTAGGGTTTAGGGGTTTAGGGCTCGGGGGCCCAGGATGCGGCACGTTTGGATGATCTGAAGGTCTAAGGGTAGTCAGTATGGGCCCTTAAAAGGGGCCTTAAGGGCTCATGAAACTACCCGAAGAACATATGGGGCAGCCCGAATTTCAGGGCTTAGGGCTTAAGAGTTCAGGGTTCATGGTTTAGGGTTTGGGGTTTGGGGCTTACGGCAGTCTTGGGGACCGGCCTTTATGATGCCAAGGCATTGAGAGGGCGAGAGCCGAACCCTGAAACCCCCAGGTCTGTGACACTGTAACCCAAAACCTGTCACGGTTACATATGCCCCGAAAAGCCCGATTACTAAACAAAGATCCCAACCCGCCAAATTTCTGCCCAAGCACCGAGCGCTGCAGTCCCCAAACTTGCGAACAGCATCGAACAGTCGGAGTCTTGCTAAGACAAACCCTAAACCCCATACCTTCTTGAACAGAAACCCCGTTTCCCGCTCCTTGCTGGCCCAGCCCTCGGTGAGAGGCTGGTAGTCGAGCCACAGGTCCGGCTGGGGCAGGGGTTTGGGGAGGGGAGGGCGGCTTTTGGGGGTTCGGGAACGAGGGGGCTGGGCAGCGCCCCAAGAGGCCTTGACAAACAAACGCACCTGCAACTCGTCCAAAACCCGATGAAGATGCCCTATACTTCCTGTGAACCCAACAGTAAGCACGATAAGCCCCAAGCCCTAAACCCTACACCCTAAACCCTAACCCTAGACCCTAAACGCTAAAGCCCCTCCCTCCCATGAAGCCCAGCCTGGGTGGGAATGTCCACCAGCACTCGGCCCATGTTGAACGTGCCAACCCTGGGATTCGGAGTCCCCAAGGGTTTAGGGTTGAAGGGTAAGGGTTGAGGGTTTGGGGTTTAGGATTTAGGGTTTAGGGCTTAGGGCACAGTGAGAGACTCCTCAATCACAGAGCCTTTCGGGTTTGGGGCTTGGGCATTGTGCCAAGCGTCACATCATCCAGCACGCTGACGATGAACAGCATGCAGCAGAGGATGCGGCCTCTCGCACGGACACGGGCGTCTCTGCAACCCAGCACGCTTCTCGGAATTTAGAACAAGGGTCAACTGCCCCCAGACCCCGGTGCGTTGATGGAATTCTACTTCTTTCCTTGGTGATATGAATTTCAAGCCCTACACCCCAAACCCTGAACCCTTTATGAACTTTGTGAACCCCATGAACCCGTTAACCATGAACTATGAGCCCTATCAACCCTGTGAGCCTTTCAACCCTGTACACCTTATCGACCCTTTTTCAGAAAGGTGTCAGGGCTTTTTTAAAAGGGGGCCGAGCGGCAAGTCTTGCTCTCAACGCCATACTCACCAGGATCCACGTACCTTTGTAATTTATGGGCTGGGATGTTCCCCCTTTCTACTAGTTCGTTCTTAACAGGTAATGGGGGGGACCATAATGCCCCATGAAGGACTGTGAGTATAGGGGGGAGCATCCCAAGGTGTGGGGTTCAGGGTTGAGGGCCTTTTGGGTTTGGGATTAGGGGTGCAGGGTTTTAGGGCTTTTAGTTTTTTAGGGGTGTTTAGGACTTTAGGGCTTCCAGTGGTTTTGGGGAGTGTTTTAGGGTGTTGGGGGTTTGGCGGGTTTGGGGGATTTGGGGGGATTTGCTGGCAACATCTAGAAAGATCCGGGCAGTCTTTGACTACACCCCCGCGGCTGAAACCACATCGTGTGAACATGGTCTTGAGGGGGGGTTTCGGGTACCGACCGAACGCAAGACAACACTCCTACCTGTCCACGCGTCGAATCGACGAGTCGGTCGCTCATGAGCTCCGACTCACCAACTCAACGAACACTGGGGTAGGTTTGGGGGGCCCTACTTTAAAAAAAAAAAAACTTATGAGGATTAAGGGTAACAAAAGATTGTGTTCAAGCTCAAACCTATCCCTGAACACTGGTGGTTGAGGAAGGCGGCATGCCAATTTCGGCGGCCTTCTCTGGGAACACCGCCTGTCAGGGAGAGCCATCTGGCAAAGACGATTTATGTTTGCCGTGTGTTGCCAGGACCGCGCCCTCATCGCATCTCTGGCGAAGGTTCGCGAAATCCACTGGCTCCAGCTGTAATACCTGACATGGAGAGCATCCATTCTTTTTTGGTGGTGGGGGGGGGGGGGTGTGTATTTTTTAGGGTTTAGGGTTTAGGTGGTGGGCGAGGCCAGGGTTGATGGATTGGCTTCGGGGTTGCAGGGCCCATAAGTATGTGTGTTGTGTGCACATGTGTGCGGGGTATTTGCAGACAGGGTGTGTGTGTGTGTGACTGTAGCTGTGATGTGTGTGTGGTGTGTGGGCGTGTGTGAGGCGGTGGAGGTGCCGCAAACGAGGGGTGTGAGAGCCTCGAATGAGTGGTGGTTAGGGGGGCACTGTTACACGAATATACACCTTCATAGCCCTTGATTTTTGCATATGAAGAGGCCCATGTCTCATAAACGGCGAACCCTCCATCCGAGGATGTCCGCAGAGACCATTAAACTAAACACCCTACCACACCCGAAGACTTCCGCCCTCTGCATCCCGACACATCCCTACACATCCCTACACACCCCCTCACCTTGAACCCTGCACCCGAATCCTAATCGGAGCGCCCACGAAATGGCCCAAAGGCAGGGGGGGTGCCTCATGGAGGTGAAGACCGTGCCGCCCGGGCCGATGCAGTTGGGCCCGTCCGGGCAAGCTGGGCAGTGCTGGAGGTTCAGGGGAGTTTGGAGTTTGGGGGTTTCAGATGCGGGGTTTCCGAAAATAGGGGTACCCTTGTTGGGGATTTGTTTCAGGGGGATTCGGGTATGAAAGGGGCACCCTTATATATATATATATGTCCCCACGTGACCGTAGCAGAATTCTGCTCTGTGCTACGTCATGAATCTGAGACAGCCACAAGGAGAATCTGTGCCAAAGTCACCTCAGGCCAGGGGGATCAAAGTACTCAAGGACTACTCACCTGCTAAGGGGCCAATTCGGAACCCGCAAAATATCACGGCTCAGGGGCATAAGAACATTTGGCCGGAGAAAAGGTCCCAGATCATCTCCTCCTGACAAGGCAGACCCAGGGCTTGTCTGAACCCATGCAGAAACAACCCTAACCCCTAAACCCTAAACCCTAAAGACCACATCCCCCTGGTGCCTTGGCGATCATGTACAGAATGGCGAACTGCGCCAAGTAGTTGATAAGCCTTCAGCAGGGGCCCGGTTCTTCAGGGGCCTTTCAAGGCTTCTGGGGTCTCAGGAGCTGTTTCCAGACCTCAAGAGCACGGAACTCCTGGGCTCTCTGCTACGAACCAAGAGCCCGGGCTGTGGCGGGGGTGCTTCGGCTGGGAAAAGCTTCCCAGGCTTCATGCGCATGATTGGCGCCCGGCAGAAGGAAGTAGGACTTGATGACGAGCACCTGGCAGATCTCTTGCTAAACTGCGACCGGCCGTAAGAATACAGGAGCTTCATTCTCAGCAGGCGTGAGCAGCACATGCTCGACTTTGCAGCCGGGTGATGCCGGATGCCTGCGCCCAGCTTTCTTGGCCAAATCGTGAACCCTCGACCCAGGGTCTAGGCTCCCGAAACCCTAAACCCGTAGCCCTAAACCCTAAGCCCTAAACCCTAAGCCCTAAACCCTAAACCCTCAGCAGCTCCCCTCTAAAACCCCTAAAACTCCTAAACCCTTAACCCCAAAACCCCTTTTGCCAAAAGTTCTCGTCCGGGCGCCGTCAGCTCCTTCGGCCAGCCAGCGGACCGGGCGAGTTGCGGCCTGGATGCACAGGAAGGGATCTTGGGCCCAGGCTCAGGGGTACAGGGTTCAGGGTTTTCAGGGTTTAGGGTTTAGGGTTTGAGGGTTTGAGGGTTCAGGGCTTAGGGTTTAGGGTTCAGGGTTTGAGGGTTAGGGTTTAGGGCTTGGGGTTTAGGGTTTAAGGGTTCAGGGCTCAGGGGTTACGGGGGTAAGGGTTTGGGGGTTTAGGAGAGAACTTGAGGCTTCGGCGACAAAGTCCGCTACCCTTCAGCCACTCGGGTTTAATAGGGGGCGAAAAGATTCCGCACGGAGGAAACATCCAGGCCATCCCTACAAAGACAAAGACATGAACCCTGAGCCCCCCTACACTCCTGAGCCCGAACCCTAGCCCTAAACCCTTAGACCATTCACCCTCAAACCCCCCCACCCCCCAGGGCCCCCCGGCAAAACAAAGGCCGTTCCGTAAAGCGACTGGTCCAAGTGTACTTGGGAGGGCTCCTGGCGTGCAGCTGAGGGTTTCAGCACTTCGGGTTGTTGGGTTGGGGGGAGGGAGGGTTGGGAAGCTAAGGTTTGCTTACTTGTCTTTGCTGTATACTTCTTTCCCGTGTTTGTTTTGGGGAAGGAGGGGAGAGACAAAGAGAGAGAGAGAGAGAGAGAGAGAGAGAGAGATAAACAAAAAGAGAGAGAGAGAGATCGAGAGAGATCGAGAGAGAGAGAGAGGGGGAGGGCAGTGTACAGTAGGGCTTTCGCGCTCTAGGCGCGGCTGATCACAACCTTACATGTTCGATGCTCATGGGGCGTGGAAAGGTCAAGGTGCAAGGATCCCATGCGACCTACGATGATGGATGATAGGAGCCTCGCGCGGCTTGGGCTTCGGACCCCGTAGCCCGAAACCCTCTTGCTCAGAAGGCTGAGTCTTCAGCGCCTTGGCTTTCAGGTGCCCCATCACCTTGGCCGCGGTCACCCGGGCTCGGTACTCCTTGGCTGACATAGGGGTTGGGTTTAGGGTTGAGGGTTTAAGTTTTGAGTGCTCAGGGTTTAGGGATTCGAAGAAGCCCGAAATTCTTGGATTAGATGGGCTCCTGGTAGAAACCCTCCCATGGAAAGAGTCAACCCTCAAAATCTGAAAAGAAAAAGCAACCTTCAAAGACGGGCCTAAGCCCTTCACTAAGCCCTCCCGCCGAACCTCTGCGCTTTTCAACCCCAAGACCCTCCAAGACCCTCCAAAACCCTCCAAAAACCCCTGCGGCTCTGCTCAAGTCCTCAACCTCTAACACCCCCCAAAGCCCCGTGCAAAAAAGGAGAAAAACCACCACGAATCAACCCTTCCCTCCCCCCCACCCGACCCTCCCCCGCCCCTTGTCAGGTGCCCCAGTGAACCCAAGGCTCCGGGGAGGTGAAATCGACGCTGCTCACCGGCTCCTGGGCGTGCCGAGGGGCGCCCGATCAAGGGGGAGTCTCTTCTTCGTCTGCGATGGGTCTCAAAGGGTTCAAGGCTTCAGGCTTTTGCGGGCTTTTCAGGGGTCTCGGGGTTTTTTTGGGGACTCTTAGGGGGAGCTCAGGGCTTAGGAGGTTTGGGCCGCATGTTCCGCGACGGTTTGGGCGATGACGGGGGCTGCCCCCCAATTCCGCCCACTCGGGATCTCTTAAGGCAGCGGCATCCTCCGAACTGCACTGCGGCGGTCGCCGCAGGACCCGGGAGAGGGACCACCTTGGCAAGCATGCAGGATTTTAGGGCTTAGGGCTGGGGGGATAAGGGTGTTTGGGGGTTAGGGCCTTCTACCTTCATGTGATATTGCTTTTTTCTCTTCTGAATTACGCGTGTCGTTCTCTGACTAGCTTTTTCTGCACATAAGACTCCAGCTTTTGGTAGCCTTCCATTGTCGCAATCATTGGCACATGGTGACTCCCGCAGTTTCATCCCTCAATTCTGGGCTAACCAGCCTTTGATAGGCGAAACCCGCAATTAGCTGGCTTGAGTGCCTTCCTTATCCTATCATATCTTCATCGTCGCGCACCATGAGATGTGCGGCGTGGCACTCCAAGCCCCTGACTCCGCCGACATGACGCAATCAAGATTATGCTTTAGCAAAGGCCCGCAACAGAGCTCGTCAATTCGTGCGCACGCCCTGAAACCCCCCAAGATTTCCCTCAACCCTAAACCCCCCCTGCCTGGGTCCCTCATTGAGGATGCCGGTCTGAACTGACCGATCCGCTGTGCTGGGCACCTCGAACCCCCTCAAATCCTAAGCCCTTACGGGGGTTTTGGCTTAAGGGTCTTTCGGATTCTGTGGGGTTTGCGCGCTTCTTGAGGACTTCTGCGGTTGGCAGCCTCACCGAACAGCCTGCGGCACGCCCGAAATCTCAAACCCGAACACATCCCAAGCTCCAAGCGAACCCAGTGCAGGCCTTGCTATACCTCGTCCGCAAGCCCTGCAGCCAAGTCCACCTGAACGTTGGAGAGCTCTCAAGACTTCACCACTCCCGCCATGGTATGGAGATTTAGGGTTTTGAGGGTCCCGACTTCGAAGTCGTCCAAAGCAGGCGATGTCTGAGTCCAAGACCAGCCGAGCTTCTCCTTGGGCCTGCGGTGGACTCCCAGACAACATATTTTCAAAGGCCCTAAACTTTGTATATCTAGCTTGCTGCTACGGACTTACTTTATTCCAGCTATGTAATGCAATCTCTACACAATGTCGTGACTACTATGATATCCTTTGAGCAGGTAAGTTCCTGAATTCAATCTCAGGAACCCAACAGACAACCCTGGAACCCAAAAGCGGACCCTGCCTCGGCATGGCCACTTGGCCGGAGGCTCCGACTGTCTCAGACTAACTAGCGAACTAGTGGCTTGTTGGATGCTGCTGGGCTGCTTGGGCTGAGGCTTTACGGGTTTCAGGACTTTTGAACAGGCTTTAGGGGGTTGGGTGCATGTTGGGGACAAGATGGCGCGAGTTGTCCCCGGATTGTCTGGCGCGATTCGGGCATTGGGGAATCGGAGATGCTGGAAGCTGCAGAAGCGACCGAGCTTTTGGATGGAACGAACCCGAAACTAACCCTTCACCATGGCTGACCACTCGCGTCCAGCGAGGTGGTCATGCAGAGGACAATCAGCTTCACTCACGTGTGGCAGCACAATTTCCGAAACTCTGGCACCCTGGCTTTTGGTCCCATCAGGGCTCGCGTCACTGCAACCGCTTTCGCTGCTTGTTCGCAAGCACGCATTATCAGGGATCGCCGCAACAAAGGGGACCGCTGCGGCTTTCATTAACAGGGGCAGCGCGTCTTGCGCCGCCGGCAGGACCCAGCTCAGTCCAACGCCTCATCTCCGTCCTGCGCTCGGAAACAGGGGCAGGAGAACCGTGCCACCAAACATGATGCTCATATGTTGCTACTCTGTGTCAAATGAAGTGCAAGAACGGCAACTTGCCACCACATGCTGCGTAACCAAACCCAGCAAACCCAGGCGCTCCTCGTCCTCCAACTTCCTGACAAGGGATTTGGCATATTCTGGCAGTTCCCAAGAAACTCGGGTACCCTTTGCTCTCCCAAATTTAGCCGAATGACGCGTCAAGGGCCAGGGGGTTGCACCACACAGGGATGTTGGGCCTCGTAGAGCGGATGACCTCCTTCAGCAGGCCTTGAGGTGTATTATACCTCGGCCAGCATAGGTGTGTAGAGGCATGTTAAGTGTATGTGTATCTGTATGTATATATATATATGTATTTTATACAGATCTCTCACGCGAACTCGGCTTCTAATGATGACGGCAGATTTGCCCCCCACCCCCCCCCCCCCGAAAGCTTTCAGGCTTCGGCCCGTTGGCCTTTGCGAAGGGATTGTCCAGGACCTGCCGAAGAAGTGACTGCTCATGCCTGAAAACCCCAAGGAACCCCAAATTCTTGCTTGTTTGTGTAGGTTGCCTGAGCACCTTACGGAGACAAACCTACCCAAAACTTCCGAAAGCACAAGAGGGGACATGTTTGATCGAACCGGTTCAGAGTTGGTGGCCTCTGCGTGGTTTTACCCTTGTCCACTGGGCGCAGGCGCCCCCATGTCCAGTCGTTGTTGGGAGGTGAAACCAGTGACCTTCCGCTTCCCTTCTGTTCCGGTTTCTTTCTTTTCTTGCCTTCTGGCTTCCTTCCCTTCCGTTCGATGTAAGATGGGGGGCAGGCACTGCAAGAACTGCAGAAGTCTCTTCTTGGCTCTGTCGCCCGACATGTACCTGTCACATGCCTCTGTTCTTCTGCAGGCTGTCAGGAAGCCTTCTCTGTCTCACACACGCGCACAGCACGCAAACAATGGAGCGGCATCAGAAGGTGCCTTCAAGGCACGAATTCGGCGGGGCTGCACCACCTTGCACATGCCACACGACCATGTACCCGGACGATGGGTCACACACATGGACATGTGAGCCGACTCGATTCTCAGCCCTCAGCCGTGTCTGCCGAGTCGTCCTGAAGGCAGAACAACGAGGCTGCTTGTCCCTCCTCCCCCCCATACAGCGGACCCCTTGCATGGCATCGTTGCTTGCCCGCCTCTCGCGAACCTCACACAGGATTTCAAGCACTGTTCATCTTCATCACGTTACATTCATGGGGCGTGCTACACAGGTTAGAGCCACGAATGCACAAACCTATCATGCAGCGCACCTCCAGAAGGACCCAGTCCCACAGCCTTCTCGACGACTGCCTTCGTCCCAGCCAGGACCTGCAACATGGATCAAGGGCAGGGTCGCTGAATTAACTGCACTTAGCCCCTGAAATCCTGAGCGCTTGAACCGCCCAAAACCCCGAAACAGAACGACGAGCCCCTGAAAACCCTGAAGCCCTGAACCCTCCTAAACCCTCCTAAACCTTATAGCCCCAAGATGCGGCTGAGACCGCGGCCCAGGTACTTTCGCGCTTCAGCAGCACGAAGTGCCGGAGCCGCTGTAGAACCTACCCCCAGAAAAAGCGCGCGCGAGGTTGCTCCGACATGGGTTCAGGAAGTTCAGGGTTTGGGAAGGTCAGCACAAGAAGCTTTGGGGCAAGAAAATGCCCGGTGGAGGGCTTTAAGGGTGTAGGGCGTAGATGGGGAGTGGGTGGGGCGCCGGAGGCTTCGACTTTCGGGGGCGTGGCTTCGCCTCGGCCACCTGGAGCTCGTGGCCGTCTTCGCTGGGCTTCCAGATGTGCTCCAACTGGTTTCAGGAGTCTGTGATAGTCTGTGGGGTTTATGGGGGGGTTTGGGGGTAGGGTTTAGGGTTTTGAGGTCTGACTTTTGTGTTAGAGTCAGCGCTTCAGGGCTCAAGGGCCGAGAGTTCCAGTGGCTGCTTTGCGGGTTTGGGGTGTCACTTCGGGGGGCTCGAAGGCGGCGGCTGCTCTCAGAAAACCCTGGCGAGTGCCCCCGCCATGGTCAGCGTCTTTGTGTCCTTGGGGCTCAGCGCTGCGTGGGGGGGGGGGGGGTTGGGGGGGGGGGGGGGAGGGGAGGGGCACGGGCCGGATCTCCACACAACAACATGCAACAACAAAAGCTCAGAGAGAAGGGCGCGTGAGACTCTCTCAACAAGGGTTCTCGCGCTCTTCCGGCACACCCAAAAGGTGCTCGTACTCATGGGTGCGAGGCACCGGGAGGCCCATCTCCTGGAGGGTCTGCGACGCGGCCTCGGGAGCAGCTTCCTTTTGACTCATCTTGCTACACATTTCAGTTTTTTGCACATGTGGTTCAGTTCACACATTTTAAGCCCCGAGGGCCTCCCGAGTGATGAGGATGAAGGCATCCAAACGGCCGGAGAGGTTCACCTTGGGAAGAAGCGCCGTGAAGGGCTCGGAAAGGTCCCAGGTCTGCACTTCACGTGGATTCCTGCGCTTAAAAGGTGAAGCATGCTGGCACTCAAGTTCTGACGCCGGTCATCCTTCGAGAGAATTCGGGCCGCGGCTTGCGTCTCGCCGCCCGCAGCCCTGCGGCAGGAAGCAGGCAAGCAGCGCACCGTACACCAACGTCACCCCCTGTCATCTGTCCCCTCATAAACCTTAGACCCCATCTCAAACCCTAGGCCCTCCCTCTGGTCATCCCCCCTGGCAGCCCTTAAAGCAGGGCCTGATCAGGTTTTGCGAAATCAGCGCCGTGAACTCCAGAACCTGACAACACCGCGCACATCGTTTTCAATCGTACTGTGGAAGAACAAAGATTACAGGTCTGTATACACGAACTTGTCTGTAGCATCTGTTTTTACCTAGCTTTTGCTGCATGCTGTTGCATTGTGCTGCATCTTGCGAGCTTGACTCAGCACCACTTTAAGTGGAGCGCTTGGGGGCCTCATGCAGGTGCTGCCGCCGCATCTCCTCGATCAGGGGGCTCTGCGTGCCGTCCGCCGTGGCCTTGGCAGCCGGGCTTGTCGGGTCCCCCTACCCGCAATATGGGTCTTTCCATGTCTTTCCTCAAACAGGGGTACCCTTTTTTGCCCCACATAGAATAGAAGACCCTTAAAGGGACCCCCAAAATTTTCGGACACCCCAAAATGATGGTGGAAGCCCCCCCTGAACGCCGAGCTTCAGGAAACCTCCGTTGAAGACCACTCGGGGGCCCAGGCCGAGAAGAGGTCGCTGACATAGGCCGTGTCAGGGTTTGCGGACCGGCCAGCGTCGAAGAGCATCTGCATGGTCACGTGCAGCGCCTTGGGAAGCTCTAAGTTTCGGGTTTTGGGGTTTTAGGGTTTTCGGGTTCAGGGGTTCAGGGGTTGAGGGGTTTAGGGGTTTAGGGGTTTAGGGGTTTAGGGGTTTAGGGGTTTAGGGGTTTAGGGGTTTAGGGGTTTAGGGGTTTAGGGGTTTAGGGGTTTAGGGGTTTAGGGGTTTAGGGGTTTAGGGTTCACACTCCCTGCGAAGAATGCAAGAAACGGCAAAACCACCCTGCAACCCCTGCAACTATCCTCTGGGCTATCATATGGCCGGGCTTCTAAGCATTCTGGTCGGCCCGAACTGCAATGTTGTAGCAGAAACATGCAATCGGAACGCATAAGAATAAACAAATGGCCATCACCGTCCTTTCATGCCCGGTTCCCGCTGCACCGGAACCGGGCTCCCCGCACGCATCAAGGCGTTCATGCGCTCCAGGGACTTCTCTGGAAACATGGCCTCTCGGGAATAATAGGGAATACTTCCCCCTAAGACGGCATGGCTCCAGGTCAACACCGAGAAACGACCCGGTGGCATGCAGCAGTGGTCGAAGGCATCAAAGGCAACTCCAGAGCCCGCCCTTCAAGAGTCGCCTGCATCACCGCACGCATCATGCGCCGCGACACCTTGCAGGCAGACATTCAAGTGATTTTAGTGCTGGCAATCCACCGGAGGTTCTGCAGATCTTTCCCGGGCCTGGTCGCGCCCGGATGACTTGGACCCTGTCAGCGTACTCCTGGACACATTCGGGGAGTGCATATTGAATATGCATGTACGCGTAAAGAATACTCTTGGGCCGGAGGTTACACGAGCCCCGGGCCGCGTAGCTTAAGATGCCAAGCCCTGCCGAAACCCTAGCCCCTGCAAGAAGTACCACGGGAATCTTGTGAGACCTCCCTCGTCGTCCTCTCTTTAAGAAGGCAACTGCGCCATGAGCCCGTGTAAGGTGCTACTGTGGACATCGTGGCAGCGCCTCTGCCCCCGGCCATGGGTCGTGCTGCTCTCGAAGCTCCCTTGCGTCGTGCAGCCCAGGGAAAGCCAGAAAACAATTCCCAGCACGACTCCAGCTACACGGGTTTAGGGCTTCAAGGGTTCGTGGTGAGGGCTTTGGCATCCGGGGCGTAGGGCATCAACAAGGCTCCCGACCATCGGCGCAGTTGTGGACCAGATTCTGTAGCTCCCTGAGCATGGTCTCCTGGTCCTGGCGGACTGCTTTGGGGCTGTGTTGGGAATTAACGTTTAGGGTTTCAGGGCACGGGCCTGCATGATGGATGGATGTACTGCTCCGGCCAGCATGAGGTCAAACCTGGCAGCAGCCAACACGTCACGCAACAGCACCCTGCCCGACGCCTTCATGCAACAAGAGGCCAAGCAGGATGGCGTGGCAGTTCGAAGTCGGGGTCATCCCGGTAAGCCTGCCGCTGACAGAGCTCTCAACCGAGAAATTCTGCGTGCGCCACACCTACCACCCCCGCAACTGCCCCTACAACCCCCCCTGCTCGACATCCCCCAAATCACATCCCATCCGCTGCATCAGAAGCGCCTCGAGGCTGCAGATGAAGGCATAGGCAAACTCCGTCATCTCCGCCGCATCCGGGAACTGCCTGCGATAGGAGGTGGCTGTCAAGCGAACTTACTGCCGCATGGGTACGTGAGTTGTGCCCTGCGAGTCATACGCAGAGGCAGCGCAGTTTCAGGGGTGACAACCACTCTTCTCAACCTTGCCTCTGCATGTGCTGGTAGAGCTCGGTGTGCATGCTCTCTGTGTTCAGATCTTGTGGCGCCTTCAGAAGCTGAGCCGCTGAGGCCGTGCAAGGAACACCCCTCGACAGAACACGAAACGCACCCGGGCGTACCAAAGCTATGACATGAGATCAGACGAAGCCATGAGCCTAGATGCCCGTGCAAGCCATAGACGAAAGGATTCTCGAGAAAAAGGCTACGCACCCTGCCTCCGCAAGGAAGCTCTCAATGAGATCCTCGCACTCCTTCTTCGAGATGTAGCGATGCCGTACCAGGCCCTCCGCCGTCCAGTTATGTGACAAGGAGACGCTGCATAACCTTACATCATCTTACATCACCTTCACCACCCTAAAGCCTCGAAAGCCCCTAAAGGCACCAAAGGCACCCCAAAGGCGGCCCCAAAGGTCCAAAATAGGCCCCCAACGGCCCTACTTGGATCTTCCCATGGCCTCCGCCCTCAGGTATGGAGGCACGCTCTCATCCATCCCCAACCTGGCAGGGACTCCCGTGGGGTTGAGGCTTCACTTCTTATGGAGGATTTCGCAAGCCAAACACTCCAACATCACCCGAGGATTCCCAAGAACCGAAACTTCCCAATCCGATGCATCGCGCCCTGCAAAGCTGCGCTTGTCGCTCATCGAGTAGATCTCGCAGGGGAACGAGGGTCAGCTCGGAAATGCATGAGGTGAGGTAGTTCGCTGTTCCCAAGCAAAACCCTCACAGCTTGAGCTGCCACTAACGAAGCAGGGACTCATTTACAGATATGGGGACATCTCTTCCCCATGGATACGTCTTCAAACCTCGAAGAAGCAAGACGAGGATCGATCCCACAAGGACTCTTCCAGCTTTCTTCGGGCGACTTCCTTCCATTCCTGGACTGATCTTGGGGGGGGGTTTCAGCTTTCCGCTGCCTGCCGGTGGATGGCCGCATCCTCGTCGTATGCATCCACCACATCCTGAAGCATGTTCCATTGTTCACAATTTGGGGAGAGACCTCTGTGCTGGTGCAGTGCCAATGCAGCTGCCAACAGAAAAACCTTGACGCCCCTAAACCCTATGCTAAACAGAGATGGGAGAAGCCTGTCCTGCATCACGCCGTCGTTCCAAATCGGCACTAGCTGCTTCACATCTTCAAGGAGGTGTCGGAGCTTCACCACCTGCAAGAGAAGAGCTGTTTAGGGTTTAGCGCTTAGGGCGACCATACTCAACAACTGGAACGCCCAACCAGCACAACTCACACTAGCGACAGACAGAAGCTCCTGAAAACCCGACTAGCCTACTGTCCACTCAGCATGAGGTCTCAGCAACCGTCAGCACCCCGAGATATCCCATCCTTTCAATTCCACTCGAAACCTCTGAGCCCCAAAAAAACCCTAAACCATCCCTAAAACCATCCTAAGCCCTAAACCCCCTAAAACACCCCAGGGAACCCAAAGAACCCCAAGAGGCCCCCGCCTGCTCCTTGAGCTTCTCCGCCTCGCGGTGGGCCACCCGGAGCGCCTCCATGACGGCATCCAGGGTCATCTGGGCACCAGGTGGGCTTGGGGGGGGGCTTTGGGGCGGGGGGGGTTGGGGGGGGCTTGGGGGGGGGTCTTGGGGGGGGCTTGGGGGGGGGGTTTTTTGTGTATTTTGGGGTGCTGTTGGGCACTTGGGTGTGTGTGTGCCCGACACTGGGCCCTACTTCTCCCTAGGGATCGGAAGGGACTCTCCCCATTCTGAATTTAAGACTCTTCTGTGCTTCTTCGAAGAGCTCTGAGCGTGCCACATCTCAAGGCTATCGCATACTGGATGCCATCCCCATACCCCTCAACCCGAAGCCCTGAACCCCAAGAGAACCCTAAGCTCCTAAACCGTCCCTTCCTCTGATGTTGCAAAACGTCAGAGGCCACAGCGGATGTCTTCCGGTCCATGGCGAGGTGGTTGGGCAGCCGACCCTGGGCGCGCCGACTCGTGGAGATAGGGTTTCCTGCTTAGGGATTAGGGGTTCGGGTTTAGGGTTTCGGGTTTGGGGTTTAGGGTTTAGGGTTTAGGGTTTAGGGTTTAGGGTTTAGGGTTTAGGGTTTAGGGTTTAGGGTTTAGGGTTTAGGGTTTAGGGTTTGCGTGCGAGGGCGGATCATGACCGGGTCTCCGACGACGATGTCCTCCAGGCTCCGGCCAAGAACCTGGAAAAACACGGCAGAAGCCATTGCCATATGGTTTAGGGTTTAGGGTTTAGGGTTTGGGGTTGGGGGTTTAGGGTTTAGGGTTTGGGGTTTAACACATACGAGTTGAGAGAAAGCGCCGTGGACATGACTTTTAGCACAAGGCTCGACAGTCTGACGTCGTCTGACGGTGGTTCTGCTCTTGGAAACTGCCATACGGGTCAATGAATGACTCAGAGAAACCATAGAGCCTCAAAATCTTTAAAATGCATGTCTGTATTCTGGCAAGTGGTCCTCCACAGCAACGCGCTTTGCGAAGGCCACGCCAAGCACGGCCTCTCGAAATTTCCGGCAAGTCGGGTTTGCAAAGTCGAGGGCATCCGGCGGCATCCATGAAGGTGAGCCTCCTCCGACTCGTAGTACCTGTCAGCCGCGTGTTGAACAAACCCTGTCACCCCCTCATTCGTTCAGGGGGAGGTCACTGAAGCTTGTCGTTGAGGACGGGTAGCTGCTCCACCTCCGCCGCTTGCCTCTCAAGCTCCTCCCGCGCCTGCAGGCTTATGAAGGTATGGGGCCTTGTCCTTCCAAGAGCCCTCCGAAGAAAGAGAAGCCCTTGCCTTCAGCAGCTTCTCTTCCAGGTTTTGGGTCCTCCGCCGCAGATGAGCAAGGCACTCCCCTTAAGAGCAAACACAAGCACGCGGCCCCCAACGCACGATGCTCTGACTCTGGCGGTCTCTTGCGTCAGCAGGGTAGCTTGATTCCGGAGCTCTTGGATGGTGAAGTCCTGCATGAGAATGCATGCCAGCGGACCCCTCCAATCACCCAAACCGCGGGAATCTCGTGGACATTCTTGGACGCAGGGGATAGAGGAGACAACAAATGGAGGCGTCAGAAGACTGTTGAAGGATGCATGGCCTCTCCAAGGCTACCTTCACCCCTTGGCAGCTTGGGACCCTGGGGCCTCACGCACGATGACCCGCACCACCCAGGCTGCCAGCAGCAGCCGCACCCACTTCATTCATCCTACTTTTCCCTTCGCGAGGATGAAGGGCCGCTTCGGTCTGCTTGAGGGCCGCCTACCTGAAAGAGCCTCGAAATGTTCTATGGTTCTCGCTGTTTCTGCACCTTACCTTTTTGCCTTTGCTCACCCCGAAAAGGGTTTAGGGACTTGACCTCACGCAGGAGATCTTTGCAAATATCAAGGGCGCGGGATCTGGTCGTGCCGCGGGGGCGGCGGGAAGGGCAACGGGAGGCGAGCGAGATCGGTCCGAGGCGGGGCGACAACATGGAGGTGGGGAGGTGAACGACCTCGGCGACGAGGAAGTGAATATCCGCTCAACGTCCGACAGGTTCCGACTTCTGTCCCCTGACAGTTGTCATGCCTTCGAGAGTGGGAATCGGGGTGCGGTTTGACACTGCGTGTGCTTTTGGAGATACTCCCACCTTCTCCCTGCAGAGGACATTCAGGGCAACCACGTCCGCCTTGATTGTGGCCTCGCGGTACCTGCGCAAGTCTCAAAAGGAGGGGAAAATCAAGAAGTTCCACTCGGTAAGTACCGTTTGCTCTTGCATCCTGCGCGCTAGGTCCCTCCCTTCCAAGGCACTGCATGTCAGAGTAGTCGATGAGGGCCAGCTTTGTCTGCTGCTTGAAGGTGTCGTACAGCTGGCACCAGGCACCAGGCAACACAAGGCTGCACGAGCTTTACACAACGCCCACGGCCAGCTGACGCGGCCTCCTCAGCTTCCTGGCAGCCGCGCTTGGCCACTTGCATCTCCGCCCTGCACTTGTCCCGCTCGTCCTGAGGCCCCTAGAACTCAGAAACCGAAGCACATCGACGCCGGAGAGATCATGCTGCGCCTCCAAGCGCCGGATCTGGATGCGCAGGTCCTCTCAGAAACTTCACCCACTCAACAGGATGTTCTAGTAGCCCCATGTAGCCCCATATTATATCCCCATGAAGGACTGCTAGTCCAACCTGTGGAGCAGGGCCCCAAGTAACGCTGCCATTTCCCGGGAGTCTGGCCTCCCAGGCTTTTGTCTTGACCTTCGCGGTGGCCGACCTCAACATTGGGCTACTGCAAGAAAGGAATGCATGACAAGAGGCGGGCTACTGTAAGAAGGAATACATGAGATAAGAGAGCGCAAAAAAAGAAAGAAAAAAAACATGATATTGTCAGGATGGGTAGACAATTCTGCAGCAAGCACCATGGCAGCCTTCGAGAAAGGTGGCGTGACATTCCCTCACACCCTCCTCAAACCCCCAAAACCCTTCAAACGCTCGACATTAAATCCCACACCCTAAACCTTAAACCCCTCACCCTAAACCCTAAACCCTAAACCCTAGAAGGGGCAGGTGACATTCGACGACGCGTCTGGGGCCACGGCGCTGCCTGCTCGCGCTCTTCCGAGAGCTTCTGGGCCGCCTTGGACTCCTCCAAGCTGGCCTCGGCGGGTGAGAGGGTTTAGGGTTTAGGGTTTGGGGTTTAGGGTTTAGGATTTGGGGTTTGGGGTTTGGGGGTTAGGGTTTAGGGTTTGGGGTTTGGGGTTGAGGGTTTTGGGGGGGTTGAAAGTGTAGGGCTTAGGGCAGTTTAGGTTCCAGGGCGGCGGCTCGGTAGCCCGACACAAGCTGCGCGTAGGTGCTGAGCTGGCCTCAGCCACGGTCCAACTGTCCAATGGCATCGACTCGTCCCTAGCATCTCTGCAAGTAGCATCTGAGCCTCACACTCAGCCGTTCGGGCCACACCTCCTCCTCCTTCAGGTCCTCAAGTTGAACTGTGGGAGTACCATGAGGCCCCCGTCAGCCCTGAATCTGGCTGGCGCATGGAAGTGCAGGGAGCGTCCTGCAAGGACGGCAGCGTTCTAGGCCACTCGCCTGCGAGAACGACTGAAATTTTGCATGCCCAGAACGGAAGAAGTGAATATCTGGACGACGTTTCACAACCACGCCTGCGTGCCAGGCTCGCAAGGTAGCCAGTAGCCCTCCCAATCCCTGAACCCAAGCCCCTTCACAGAAACTGAATCGAAAACTACCAAAACTACCGGATCACTCCCTAAACCCGGAACCCCCAAAAACCCCCCGGTTCTGAGGAGATCCCGTGCTGTTCCCTGAACCCAAAACAGGTCTGGCTGGCAGAAGATGGCTTCCAGCAGCTCCTCCCAAGCTTTTTTATTCGTGTGCTGCTGCTGTCTTGTGTTGCTATGTGACATATGTGACACATGTGAATATATGTGTTGCTCTGTGGCCTTACGCGGTGTTCTGCGTTGTTCTGTGGCATTCTGTGGTGTCTGAAGTAGGAGGACGAACCGATTCCCGGTGTCTACTCGCAGACGACAGAGGGAAAGCAACATTTGGGGCGTTTGCTCCACGATGGTCAAAGGCGTCGAGCGTCACGCGCATGACATGGCAACCGCGCACCGAAGCGCTCACTAGTGTCATCGCTACGAAGCAAGCGTGCGATGCTGCTACCACTGCTACACCCCCACCACCACCACCACCACAACCACCACCACCACCTTAACCACCACCACCACCACCGCCACCACCACCATTTCCGTTACTATTCAACTTTTAAGGGGTAAAAGGAGGGACCCCGAGAAGGGACCCTGGGTCTGGTTCCCCTTTTTTCACCCCGATATATGCCTTAGAAAAGTCCCTGTATACCTAAGTAGCCCCTATACATTGCTAAGAATATTGATGTTGCCATGTGTCGTTGCTTCTGTTTTGCTGTGGGTTTAAGGATAAGAAGTACGATGGTTGTGTCTGCTAAATTCAGAGTATATTCCTGCTGCTCCTCTTCACATACCACCATTTCAACCTTGCAGTCAAACCTGCCTGCAGCAGCGGCTCAAGCATCGTCCGCAACGCGAAGCCCTGGGGCAGCGCGCGCACCAACCGGAGGATCCTGGCCATCTCCGTGTCTGGGATGGGGCTTCGGACCCGGTGCTCCAAGGTGAAACACGCGGAGAAACACGGGGGAAGTATATGGAATTATGAGAGCAATGGTGGCAGATCGACAAGGAGGCAGCTTCCGAAGTTGTCGAGAAGTCCTTTGGCGGCACCTGGAGGCGAACAAAGGGTGGAAACGGGAACCGCGGGGGAAGCTTCGGCACACGCGTGCGGAGCGAAGGATACAGACACGGGGCATCCCAGGGCCCCCTGCTGCTTCGCCCGTGATGGCGTCAAGCGATTCCTTCCTTCGCATAGAAACATGAGAAACCAGTGAGGAAACTTGCCACAGGCCACCTGTGTAGCCACAGGTGTAGTCACTCAAACTACTAACCACTGCATGCGGCGCTCCTTGAGCAGCGACCTCCAAGATATGCATTCCACTCCTGGCCGTGCTGTCACGTCGGGGCATTTTGAAGAACAGAAAAGGCACGGGCTCCTGGGATCTCTCCTCAATCTCGAAGGCCAGCCGAGTCAATCCTTTTGCATAGTTTCCGCCTTCGCTCTTGACATCGCTCGTGCTGGGCATTGCTGGGCTGCTGGACTTCATCAGAGACTCGGGTTGACTAGGGCATGCACGGCGGAGCGGCCGCATCCAGGCGAAAAGATCGGAGACGGCCTGGCGCCCCTGACCAGAAGCATTTGCAAACGCACGGAAACGCACGATGAGGCGATGCCGCGGCTGCTTTGGAATCGCAGTTGCCAACACATACGATCGCAAGCGCAAGTACTCCCACAGGTCAGACTTGGTTGGTGCCTGGTCTGCAGTCGGCGCCGGCGCCGGCGCCTTCATGATGCTGACCAGCGCCTTCCGAAGAAGAACATCTCGAAACGGGTTTTTCACGGGAAGTCTGATCCGTCATGGCGTCACTTGGGCTTTCAGAAGACATCCCTCCTCGGGCCCCGCAACGTCCATCACCGAGATGCTCGTGGCCAACTGCGAGGGCTCTTGAACAGGGTACAGAAAGTGGTACAAGGGCTACCGCGACCCTCCACTCTCAACTTTCAAGGCACTGATCAAAGGCACAGTTGGAAAGCACTAAAAGTGGATGGGCTTTGCCTCCTCAGACGCCTCGCTGCCCAGGCGCGGCGTGGGAGGTGCCTCGCGGATGGGCGCCTGCCGAAGACAGTTCTCCCCCCTGTCTTGGGTTGTATGGGAGTATGAAAGGCTCTGGAAAAATTGGCCCCTTGGCCTCGGCCCTAAGGCCCTAAGGCGTCAAAAAACTCCCTGCTCAGAACACCCGCAGTGTTGTGCGTCCCCCTTTTGTTTCGAGTTCTCGGATGCTTTCGGGCTTTTGAATGATATCTCGGCTTGAGGGGCGTCTGTGGACTTCCTGGAGAAACCTCGGAAACCCCGCTGCGGACCCATCTTTGGAATCTTTCGTGCCTGATGGGCCGACCCGGGCCGAGGCGGGCGACGCGCAACGTCTAAAGTGGCACTTCGGCTGGGCTTCATGGGGCCATGCAGGGATGATATAGGGACATATAGCGGGCCATATAGAATGACCCCTCCCCTCCTGCCCCCTGGGCGTGACAGCGGGTCCGCAGCTGGGAAGCGCGAGGGCAGCACGCAGGGTCCTTGCCCGAAGCGGGCGCCATGCGGATGCTATGGTTTAAATCATTTATAATCATTTATATCAAATCACCCCCTCCGACAGAGCTGCTCTCTCTGCAGCTGTGCGGCTTTGTGTTCCTCGGCGTGCCCCATGGGATGCCTGCAGACATTCTGCACACGGCAGGAGAGGCTACCAGTGTGTTGGCCCGCCATTCTTGCTTTGAGGCCGAAAGACAGGCCCTCCACCTTGTCAACTCCTTTCAATCAAAGTGGCCCCAGAGCTCCGGGCCTTTGGATGGAGTGGAGGCACGAGACCTCTGCGCATCGCCACAATGCAGTTGACCGTGTTATTTAGGCCAAGAGTCGAGATAAGGCTTCCGCGATGGCCGTGAGGAGCCGCTTGTGGGCACCAGCAACCTACAAAGTCGCGGAAGTCACTTTGCTCCGCGACCCCCCGCGGCCCCCACAAGAACGCTCCCAGTCTCGCGGGAACCGGCCTCCGGCCATCTTCAGGAAAAGATGCCCGCAGCTCGTTGACCATCACCTGAGGGTCGACAAGCACGCGCCTCCACGCTGCCAGTATGCTGAGTGCTACTCCAATCCTGTACAGCTCGACAAGCTGGGATGCTGGCTGTTTTTTTGGCTCTCAAGCCGCCCAAGCCGACGCCTCCACAAGAGGTGCCAACAACGAAATCAGTGCAGGGAAGAGCCACCCCCGCAGCCTCCTGCTCTGCACCAGCGCACCACATGCCTCCGAGACGAAAGCTCAGGGACCCTGCAATGACCGCCAGCTGCCGAAATCTGCCCCGAAATGTGCCGAAACTGCCCAAATCTGACGAAGTCTGCCGAAACCTCAACTGCAGATTGGATTTGGGTTCACGCTGGGTAGCCGCGAGGCTTGGGCCGGACACCAAAGCGCGCAGTACGGAAGCCGTTGGCCACAGAGACTCTACATGAGTCTACACGGCCTGGAGAGATAGATTTCATGAATCCAGAGCTGCAAATAGCAGACCGAAGTCCGAAGGCATTGTGTCCCTGACCGATGCCACTTCTGAGGAGAGGCCACTCTGCGGCTTTTTTTTGTATACCTTCCGCTCTTGCGTTCGCGCGCGCGAGCTCGGCCAACTGTTGCAGCGTGAGCAGTTTGAGAAGAATTGGCCAGGTCAGACTTCCGAGGGCTGCTGTCACTCCTCTTACCCACTCAAGAACTACTAAGTCACCATCCGACAGTGCACACACATGGCCTCAAGATCCAACAGTCTACTGCCCTTTCTACTTTGGTGGTTCTATCAATCTTATGCTTCAATTACAGCATCCCAACACCAAGAAAAAACGGCGCCGCGCGCAGCAATGACATGGGCCGTGCAAAACCCGACATCCGCTCAGAGCAGCCTCACAGGGGAGGGGGGGGCATCGGGGGGGCAGGGGATGGAAGTTGCCCACACATGGGTACTGATGTGTCAGCTGACGGCCTTCGAATCTGAGAGGAGGACGCTGCCCTGACAGAAGGGCGCTTGAGACGGTGAGCACGCATGCAGCTGTCACATCTCGTGCGACCGCATGCGAACCATCAGTAGCCTATAACCTGTGCCGAGACTCGGACCCTTCCCTTTGCGGCTGCTCATGCGGCTTTCCTGCTGGAGCCTGGCACCAGAGAGGTGGCACACGGCACGCGGTGCCTCGAGGAGCATTCATATTTTTGGCATGTACGAATGCTAAACACGTACATGCAATTCATGTGTTCCCTGCCGTTTTCAAGCGTGCCCCGCGACACCACCGGCACCGGCCACGGCGAAGACGAGGAGCACGAAGAAGACCTTCGACAGAAGTGTAGGTAGGGCTTGCGGGCTTGAGGGGATGATTTTGCGAAGGGGTTCTGGCAACCACGAGAGCTCAGGGACGCCCAGGACCGACTCGAAGCCGAGGCCCCCTGCCCAGAAGATGACAACGGCCACTTCACCGTGGAGAGTGCCGATGCCAAGGTCCCAGTACCTGTCAAGGCAGGACTCCACAAAGCACCCTTCCTTTCCCCGGCTTTACCCATTTGGTACCCATTTGGTACCCATTTGGTACCCTCATTCGGTTCCTTTTCGTCCGAAGTCTTGGAGGAACTGCTTTCAGACTGGGGCACCAGTGGATGCCGACGCTGGGCGGCTCGCCGGCCAGGGCGGGTGCCGCCGGGGCCAAGCTGGCGGAAGCTTTCTTTTCGCTCTCTCTTTCTTTCTTTCTTTCGGAGGGCGTGGAGGCCGAAGCCCCCGGGCGTCATCTCTCTCTCTCTCTCTCTCTCTTCTTAGGTTGAGCACAGCTTGTGGCGAAGTGGTTTTCGGGATCAGGGACACTGTTCCACGGATGCGTTTGCTTCTTCGTTGGCGGGGAACTTCAAGCTTACCTGATGACCTCTCAAGCGGCCTCAACAAGCATCAACCAGCAAGAAGCCAAGGCTGGACTTTTCCGGCACTTCAGCAGCCACACCAAAAGATCCAAAACACGCTTGCTCCACGCCGCGGCCGCGGCAGCCTCAGCACGCAGGGGCTCGGAATCCACTCGACGCCATCCCTCGTTCTATCCCACACTAAACCTTAAAACAAAGCCCACCCGAACCCCCCCCCCACAACTCTCCTCGCGCTCTCGTGACTCCAGGGTCCCTCAGCGCGAAGCTGGGCCCCCGGCAGCTCCGAGCCCGGTGCGCTGGGAGGGCGCCGAGAGGAAGGCGCTGGGGCACAGGAGCCTGGCGCCAAACTCAGCACTTGGGGCTTTCGGAAACTGAGGAATCTGGGCTCAACACAGTTGAAATTGAAAGTTAAAAAGGGTCTTCAGAATGAGGTTTGACAGGGGTCTTTTGTTCAAGGCTAAACATGCCTCATGAGAGCGCTACGCGGAGGCTCTTTGCCAGCCCCGGTGCTCCCCACTTTCCCCCCCAAGGAGCCCTCGGAGGCAAATCATGGCGGGGGGGCAGCAAAGAGCAGGCAATCAGGCTGACAGCCTCGGAACAGGATCATTGGGGGGGGGGGGGGGGGGGGGGGGAGGACTCAGGGATTCATGGGATTCAGAAGGATTCACAAGGGCTTTCAAGGGCTGACCGTCATGTGGGGTACTCTACAGAGTGCTCATCGGATCTGAGGCCCCGGGCCAGGAATGGACTCCTGGAGAGCGCCTGGCTAGCAAAAAAAGGCATTTAGGGGCCTTTTTGGGGCTAAAAAACTCCTCCACCACGAAGGGGGGCCCAAGAGCCGCTCTGAGCGCAAGCTGAGCGTGGGGCCATCTTCGAAGCGACGGTGGAACCTGCAGGACTTGCTGTTCAAGGGACCAAGCTCTTCAGGATGAACATGTCCCAGGCACTGCAACCGGCCCACCTTCAGTCGGGTCGGCCCAGGTCTGATGCGAAACACTGTCGAGCCATAAAGGCACAAATGACACAAAGATGTTGGAATTCTGACAAAGGTGCGTCAGAGTGACGTGAAGCAGCCCCTATGAAGCCGAAAGTGCCGAAGCTCTTACCGCACTCCTCCAACCTCCGCCTCTCCTCCTTCGACATCCCTGTACCCCCGTCTGAAGCCTTTCCTTGAGCATGGGTTGGACAATCTCTATCAACGGGGCCTGAGCTAGGGGCAAATCTCCTATGCTCTTGATATCAGAAAGCTTGTTTGCAAGCACAGCTCTCTTTTTCTGGGCGCTTGTTGAAGGATGTCGAAGACCGTCAAGCTACGCAAGAACGGCGCCACATCCCATGCATCTCGATTCCGACACTGAAGTGCACCTGTGTGTATCCGTGTGCAAAGCGCTTTTGCGACGATCTGGGGACGCAGCCTCCAGGTCAGTTGGCCCATCTGGGCGTGTCTGCTCTCGCTTTCTTCATGCCCACCACCGCGACCTTCAACTCTCCCCAAAGAAGTGCCGCATCTTGAGCGCAGCTGCCGGTGCAGCTTCGGCTCCTCAGCTGAGACCAGCGGTGCTTTGGAGCGCCTCCAGGGATGTCAGAGCCCGGGGCTTCGTGGCCAACTGGGAACATTGGGAACATTGCGGCAGCATGGAGAGGGAGATAAGGGAAGGCTTCAGGTCAAGCCCCAAGCTTGGGCCTCTCATGTGGAACCTCTCATGTAAAGCCTCTCATGTGGAACCTCAACGGAAACCGATAGCCGAGGGCGAAATTCCAAGGTCTTGGCGGGGAGATGAGCCGTCCACTGACCCGGGAATACCACGGAAGAAGACATGGCTTTACCCGGGTACGGTTGAGGTTCGCGGAGGAGGTAGCAACCTTGTGACAAAGGGCAGGTCACCGGACGAGGCCGCGCAGAACCTGATCCTTGAGAATCTTGCGGCCCCGGTCGAATGAGCCCGTTGAGGTCTTAAGATAGCCAAGCACGGCAAAGGTGCTCCGAAGCACAAGGCGGAGACGTAAACCTCCAAATGTCCGTGCCAACTGATGAACAGCTGCTGTGCCCATGATGCCCCTGAACCATGTGGCACCAGACTGTAGAATCCATGTTTGTTGGGAGGTTGATAAGGCCTCGATCATGGGACACACCTAACAGGCCCGAAGAAGCTGTAGTCCTTCTGGTTTTTGTACGTTTTGGGGTCTCGGTCCATTCACCCCCTGCAACGCAGAGAGAGATTGGCATCGTGCCTTGTTGCGCTGCGCAAACAGGAGCGACATCCGCAACCACACTTCAAGCCAGCCGTGGCTTGCCACACAAGTGGGGGGTGGTAAGGTGCCAACGAAGGTTGTGCTCCTAAACCCCCAAACGCCCTAAACCCTGTAATGGTAGCCCCTACAGGCAGTCTGACAGGCATCCTGACAGTGCTCCTTCGAAGCTTCGCGCGAGCCAGGAAAGCCCCGGCGACGAGAAACGTCTCTGCCGCGCAAACCAAGAAGGCCTCACAAGTGGGACCTCGAAACGGGTCCTGTTGGTCCTATCTGCAGCCTTTGGGTGCGTTCCGCGCGCGGTGCTTTCCATGAGACCTCAGCGATTTCTTAGCAGGCTCTTTGGAGAGTTTCTGTTTAGAAATCCTTCTGAAGCAGCTTCAGCATCTTGAATTCCCAGGCTGAGTGAAAGCAGGCACCAAACGGCACCGGAATGTGCACCTCAACCACCTTGCGGCTGCCCAGGCATGTGGCTTTGCAAGAGCCGCGGGAAGTCTAAGGGCTCGAACTGGCCCTCAAAGACTCAAATTTTGAAAAGCCAAGGGAAGACGGCCTTTCAGGAAGGAGGGGATGTCAAAAACTCACATGCGCCCCATGGCAAAGAACCCCAGTAACCCAAGCTGCCTAAGTCATGCTAAGTCATTTCTGCGCCCCCCCATAAGGCGCCCGTTGGCTGAGGCCATGCCTTCCACGGCACAACTCGTCTGGCACTCTAGAGCGTGCTGTTCGCATAAGTATATGCCACGCCCATGCGCACATGGCAGACATAGCGAAAAGGTCAAGCTCAGCAGGCAAGGATGGAAAGGTCATTTGGTCACGTCTGGAGCCCAAACAGCCGCCCGGGCCCATCTGAGCCTGCAACACGCTACGCCCGCTCTGCGATGCTACTGGGGGCTTTCAGGCTTTGTTCAGCTCAAGTAGTGAAGCTCACGTCACATAAGCAAGCCCCCGAGATGGACCCCTGATCAGCCCTATGCCCTTTTGCCCTTAGAGCACATCAAAAGCCCAGAGCTTGCAGACCTTGCAGACCTTGCAGAGCTGGCAGAGCTCCGTGTTATTCCGAGTGCAGCTGAAAATCTCCGGCTCAGCGCTTTCTGCGGTTTCCTGCGGTTTCCTGCGTTTCCCGCGTTTCCCGCGTTTCCCGCAGCTTGCGGGAAGAAGACGAAAGCATGAAGCACAAAAGCAGCGAGTATGCCACCATGCGAAGATAAGGATGGCGGCGAATCAGTTGGCCTACAGCTCCCTACACGGGATGCTTTTAAAGGTTCACTACAACTACAAGGGGCCAAACCACGACAGGCAGTTTTGTGTGAAGATACTTGGACATACTGTTTGTCTTACTAGTACCTATCTGATGTCATTTTCAACTGAGTACAACGCTGCTGGTGGCAACGTTTCAAGCAGAACAACATTGGCTCATTCAAGCAGGCCAAGCAAGAAGGCTCCAGATTTGGTGTCACCGACTTGACTGGCTGTGAGGGCTTCAAGCATCATTACTTCAAGCTTTGATGCCACTGAAGCGGGGTTCGGGCATGCATATCGAACAGAAGCGACGACAGGGGCAGGCTCTTGTGAAGGCATGTGCTCACATGACACTTGTGAACATTCGCAATACATTGACACAAGCCACAGGGATGTGCCTGGACTTGCACGGCCTTGGGGGCCCAGCACGACTTGCTTGCTTGTTCGAGACGGTTGCGCTTGCTGCGGATGTGTCTCACGCGCCTCTGACAGAAGGACTGCGCCGGAAGCGACCTTCGTGAATCAGTTCGTGGCAAGGCACCATCAGGCAAGGTTCGAGACGGACCGGAGACATACTGTCGAAATGCACACTCTATGCCCAGGGCACCTTTTCTTAAGGCCGGTTAAGATCTGGTAATTATCTTTATAATACGGACAAGGCAAACCCCATGCACACGGTGCTTTTGCCTTTGGTTCCAGAGTAGCTCAGGAACGGTCAGGGATCAACGTCCAGGTGCTTTGACGTCTCGACACAACTTGCCCAAGGGCGGTCGAAGCGTGAAAAGTCAAACAAACCTTGCCATCACAATGGAGGGTCCACCCCCGACTAGAGTGAGCCAAACAAACAGCCACTGCGCGAGGACTGCAAAAAATTGTCTTCTCAGAATATTGCGCACCCCAACTGGGAGCCCTGGGACGCGAACGCCGCAGAGCAGCTCAGCGCGCCCCAAGGCACCCCAACCTCCGTGACAAGCGCAGCTGCGCTCCGCATCGTGCCGGACGGCATCGCCGCGAAAGCCGGGCACTGCGGCTGGAGGGTGGAAACCTTCCGCGCCTCAAAAATGTGCCGGCACCATAGGCGCTGCAGTCGCCGTGTGCATGCCCTCGGCGGAGAACATACCAGGACTTCAGGAAATTGCAGGAATCAGAGCACGCAGGAAGCTGCTGAGGGAGGCTTTTCAAGAACGGGCCTCGCCGCAGGTTTGTTCAAGGCACAACCCCGAAGACTAGAGGAAGGCTCGATCCCGACATATCCCGACTCACAATGACGGGAAGAACCCACAGGAAACCAAGCTGAAGCTTGGACCCGCCGGCGATCAGAAGCGCGACGCTGAGGCTCAGGAGGCTTGAGGAATCTAGCGTTTCCTGCCGCAAGTTCCAAAGGATCGAGCGAGCTGCCCTCCTTTGCCTCCGTTCTCCTGGCACGAAACCTGGCGACACATTGTAGATGGCCATGCTCTCTCTTTTTTCCAAAAGGCAGGTCGCCAGGCGATGCCTACAAAACGGAGCTAAAGGCTTGCTAGAGGCTTAGTGAGTTACAGACCTAGCATTGCACAGCGCTCGGGAGATCGAGCGACGGAACTAGTGCCGGACTTTTGTGTGTAGTCAAGGAATGCGCCCGGACTGTGGTTCGTCGGCAAGTGAGCGCCTCACTGAAAGCCTCACTGCCTAGACCTGCCTAGCAGGCCTAGCACAGAATGCCGAGCCACAGAGCACACTGCCCTGCGCTAGCTGCCTAGGAACCTTCACTGCTCATCTCCACATCATGTTCGATATCTCTATGACTGACATCATTGGCCTCTAACTAATCACATTTTCCAAGCCTGACTCAAAATCTGGCGAACTTCTTGGAGAACCGCACCGAAATGCAGAGATGCTCAGCCTCTGCCAGCTCTCTTTGATGCCATGTCGGCCTGACATGAATCCTCAAAACACAGCCAGGCAACCCAGCAATTGTCACAACACGCTGCGCGAAGTTGCAACATGTTGCAAGTTCGGCATCTAGAAATGTGGAGCCTCAGGCAGCGCTGCAACGGCGAAAGCAGCAAACTGCGAGCCG